TGTTTTATTATGCGCACAGACGAGCCGTCAAGGATCCCAAGGAATTGGACGTGGATTATGCTTCGACGGAGCTCAGCCTCCCTCCCAGAGGCATGTGAGCGCAGGCGTATGCAATACACCCTCGCTTTGGCAGTCTGTTGTGTTTTGTTGCACGCCTACGCGTGGCGAAAGCATAGTGTTCTGCGCGCACCCGCATCATGTGGCGGCTACGTGCGCACTTTTCACGCTTGCTGCAGTCAGCAATGCGGAGTTGTCCACGAGGAAATTCTATCGAATTTAGTCTGGATATAAATTTCTAGCAATCACGCCGTTTCTCGCTTTCTGTAGCGTAGGCGTATTTATAGCATTGCTAGTCTTTTTGGTAGGCAGAATTCCGTCAATTCTGTTCCTACGCGTGAACCTTCATCAGGTCCACGCTCATATGTATTTCAATAACCATACCTGCACGCATTAGATCAATGAGATTACTTATGTCGCAAATGGCTCTATACTACATGTACATACGTATTAGTGATATAAAGCAAGAAGCTATGATACAAGCGTGCTAAGGAAATGTTATACCGAGGCATCGTACCCAGGTTACGGTTTTTTTTTAAAGTTGCATTGGTACTGTTTATGTTCATCCTGATTCATTGAAAGTAAGCGCAATCAGCTCTTTCGGCTTCTTTTCAGCCCAAATAAGGCTAATGTTATTACAACACGTATTACTTTCGGACAAACTTTATCGCATCCTGCATAATTAACAGGATATAGAAAATTCGATAAGGTTCGTTTTTTACTCGCTAGTTGCTGTCACTGTATCTGCAGAATTATTAGTACTTAAAAAAGTTAAAATGGATTTCAGTTAACAGAAATTCGAAATCAGTGATTAAGCAACGAGTAGTAACTTTTCCATTTATGTATATGTGTGCATTTGGGTGGTCAACTTATCTGATAATGTCTATCTCACCATCGAAAACCGTGGTCCGCGAGTGTTCCACCCTGCAAACCATCGACTTTACACTGCAATGGACAGTGGAACATTTTTCCTTATACAGAGGTAATACGGAAGGGATGACGAGTAAGGGCATCACGATGGCGGAACTCGGCATCGCTGGTCAAAAAGGGCGCTGGCGCATCGGACTGAAACCATGCTGCGTGCACCCTCACACGGCGGAACGATTCTTGGATGTGGGACTAAATCTCTCTGATGATGAATGTAGATCTACATCATATACCGGAGAAGGGAGTTTTCGGGCTGCGTTCCACATAAGGTATGTAATTCCAACACGGGGCCGTGAAGGTCTGACTTTGACCACTACAAATGTAACCGCTGAATAATCTACAGAGTCTGTAAAGGCGGTAACAAATAGCCACAGCTTGGCGCCAGGGGGATCAGAGCAACCATTTTCTAAATTATGCGATTTTTGTCAAATTTTTTGGTATTATTTGCAGCTTGGCTACGGGCAGAGCGATGTCGCCGTTGGTAGCAAAATTCAGTCCCTTGCCGCATCACTTCAAGAAAGGAGCGTTTTTTTCAGCGACTAACAGTGGTATTATCAAACACCGAGATCTTCTTCCGAACATTCAGGATGATTCGATTACTGTGACCATCGAGGTCCATCTCCAAGTGACAAAACGCCGCACCTTTCGCGTAACCAACCGACAACCCGCTCCCCAACAGTACCACCACAATTTCCTGCAGCGACAAACCGGCCTGTTGTATTCCACACTCCATGAGGACGCGGCGGACTTCGTTCTTCGCTCCAGCAACGGCCAGGACTTCCCGGTCAGTCGGTTTCTGCTGATGGCCCAATCACCGGTCTTTTTTGCCATGCTGACCCAGGATGCCAAAATCAAGGAAGAGAGACGCTGTCAGTTGGATGATGTGGATGGAGAATGCATGAGCGTCCTGCTGGATTACATCTACGGCTGCCATATGGGAAATATTCATAGTGGCAACGCTGAGGAAATTCTAATCATGGCGGATAAATACGCCTTGACGGATCTACGATTGCACTGCGAGTTAGTGCTGGCTAGTGGCTTAACTGCGAAAGCGGCAGCCAAGTACTCTGCCCTGGCTGAAGAGCGGAATCTGATTACACTGAAGGAGGAGATTGCCTATTATTGTGCACAAGCTCACTACGCTGCTGATGGATCGACAAAGAAAAGCAGAAAATCTCCCGCCAAAAAAAGCCGAAAATCTCCCGCTAAATCTACAGTGGTGAAGACCGTTACAGAAGCTCGAGTGACTGGATGGGAAGCAGTGAAGACCTTGGTCGGTTGCTTGATGTTTTTCCTCTCAGTTGTAATTCTGGTGTACGTTTATCCAAAGCCAGTTAAGCACTACTATTAAGCATAACACTGATGATTGGAGAGTTTACTTCCCCATAAATGGCTGCCATATGCCAGTTTTCTAGACCGTTAATTTACTAATTTACCCAAGGTAAAAATCTTCCTTTAACATTTTGGGAAAGTCATTTTGGAGTTCACATGCTCGAAAACTAAATTTTTAAGCTAATACAAAGCAATGTCATTCAGCTCTTTATTCAACGCTGATTGGCACTGATTTCTTAATTACTGTAGATGTTCTATTGATAATTATATTACTAAGAATTAAAGTGGGGTTTAATCACATCGTCGTACGCTTTTATATATTTTTTTTGGATTTTACATTTCACAATTTTTGGGGGTCAGTCGGGAATACAAAATAAACAACAAGCAAAAACCGGCAGACATAGCTTCTAATAAAATCACTGAGCAAATGCTAATTATCTCGGACGGTCATCATCGCAACTCCGTTAGTACCGGTACAACAAGTGTTAGCAAGAACAAGAACAACAAGCAGAAATCAAAGTCAACTACTTGCGTCCCCACCCGGTGGCGGTCTGCACGGGAGCCGCGGCTACCATGGGAGCTGCAGCGCCCCATCCACTGCCGCCTTGGAGTCCACCGATGCCGCCCGCCATCGGGAGTCCGCCTAAACCGCCGCCGAGACCGCCCATCGCACCCATGCCGGGGAATCCGCCCATACCGCCTAAACCTCCACCCAGTCCGCCGTAGCCCATACCGCCCAGTCCACCGATTCCACCCAGACCACCAATGCCGCCCATACCGCCGAATCCACCTAGGCCCCCGCCAAATCCGCCCATTCCACCCAATCCGCCCATGAGCTGAGCAGAGGCAACGGCTAAGGTAGCCAGCAGGACGATAACCTAATAAAAATTCCAATAAGTTATAAAACCGAAGCCACGTTGTTCGAATGCAGTCTAGGAGAAAGTGAAGATACGTAAAGTATTACAGGAAAGGTCACGCCTTAAAAAACGTATATTCGCTGCGAAAAGGAATGCGAGACTTACTATGAGTTTCTGCATGATGACGGGGAAAACTGGGAACAGGATCACTAAATCAACAAAAAAAATAGCCGAAACGTATCGAAAAAGTTTAGCCGTGTAAATTTACTGCCGAGGTGAAGAAAACTCTAGTTGTTCGTGTGAAAAGTAGATATGAACACTTTCGCTTTTGGTGTTCGCTTTATATAGGAGAAACTCGCAGACTGATAGCTCCCTGACCAGTGTCCAAGTGAATAATGCAGCATATGATTTCAGGCTAGGTTGAATTAGGTCGATGGCACAGGCACACGATAACGTCGCGCCAGCGCCATATGGAGCATTCGCTTTGGTTCTTTTGCTCTGTGCTGTACTTTACAGCTATAACTGTCCAATTAATGAATTGACGCTGATCTTCATTGTTCTTTTGTTTGTACAGTACACTCTGCATTGAGGGTTTTGTTTACTGTCTGGACATTGGCAAAAAAGCAGACACTGCGCTTTGCCGCAGCAGTTTTGCCTCTTTTTTGGTGATGATCCACTGACACCGTTTTATACAATGCACTTTTGAGATTCTGGCGCCCATTCGATGTCTTTATTGACTGAATGTTAATAAAAATTACAGAAAATAAACAAAAATTCGCCAGAAATTTAGACAGATTAATTACAAGGAAAACAATGCTAAAACAGTCATAAAAATAGTACAACACTAAGAGTGCTGATCTTGAGTATCTAACTACGTACATTTTATAAAATTTTATAAAAAAAATTATATGCGCTGTGGCACGGTGTAAAAGTCAATTTTTACGTGTTTCCCATTATTATCAACAAAACCATGAATCATCACGGCAATGAATCAAAAGCCTGCCTGCGAAATATTTGTTACTAATTGATAAGAACAAAAATCCCGGCAACAACTTTTCCGCATCCGACACGCGTTATCTTCTTACGTTTAGATAAGCTACGTAAATTTGCCCGGTTCCGGATAAATGCACATGGATTTGCAGCAAGATCACAAGGAAAATTACCGGAAAATGCAAGGCACAAACATTGTCATTAATTAGTCAGGTCTTTTTTCACAAACAGGTTTAAAGGTATATAAATACTGCTTTGTGTGCATATGTATAATACAAGTCTGAAAACCATTCTCTTATTAAAAAATTAATTGGCACAATTAGCTGCGTTTCCGATTTTTGCCTCACGTTATCTGCACACTATCTTTACTTCTACACGAAATGGCAGGAATCAAGATTTTCTTATGGGCAGTCGTCAGCTTTGCCATCGTCGGTCTTGTGGCTTCATATCCGGCCGCTAGTGTTGGTAAGTGTTTAAAAACAGAGATTTTTAATTAATTTTTAAAATGTAAACTAATTTTTGGATGCGCACCTACAGATGTAGAAGAAGAAAATGAAGTAGCGCTTTATGGTCATCATGGACATGGACATCATAATCACAGTACATTGGCTAACAACGAAAGTGAGTAAAGCATTATAGGAACGCAGAATACAGAATTTGAAATCTGCACCACAAACGTTTTTTAACGGCCTAGAAAAGTGTACAATAATAAAAGCAACTTGTATTTTTTGACAGAGGAAGACGGAGCCGGGGACACGAAAGTGACGTGTGACCTTTTGGGAGGGCTGGGTATCGGACCGATCTCGCTGGGCGAGAACACCCTGTGCGCCATGCACTGCGGCCAAATTAAGTGTAAAAGCGGAGGTTCGTGCAAGGACGGCGTGTGCGTCTGCCGTAAGGACCAGGCCAGTTGTTGGATCTACCTGTGCAAGGGATGCAAGTGGTGATCTCGATTCCACCCACAGCCACCAGATCGCTAAGTTTCTTAGTTGCTACAATATACTGTAGTAGCGTTTTCTAACTATAAGGCTTGAACACATACGTATTAACAGAGTAATTCTGCTTCTGTGAAGCGTCTTGATCATGCTTAACGCAGAATTTTATCTGCTTTACTTATTCCGCTTTGTTATTATTTTGGTCTGTACAAGTTACAATGATTTTTAGACAGTCATTGATTTATTCCTTTTTCGGTAAAACTTGACGGTTGTAAATCGGTGAACCGAATAAAGTGTGTTTGCTAATTGCTACTGTAGTACGCTGGTAATTTTTTATGTCATTTACTTAACTCCGTTTAGCCAAGATGTGTTCAGTGCAAATCTGTAGTACTTAGTTTAATGTTAAGTTTATTTCAAATTGTATTTACCCATCAAAACACATTAAAATGTTCCTTTCCCGTTATATTACCCGGCTTAAGCCCATCATACGAGTACAATAAATCCTAGCGCTTTACTAATAAAATTATTATTGTAAATTGTGGCAATCCTCCTATAACATCCATACTCTGCGAGAACTACTGAAAATCGTAAAGGTCACACTGCTGATACCAAGATTAAAAGATGTAGACTACAACAATTAATAAGTGTACCAGAAATTTCACTTTTCACATTTTGTGCCGATTGTTCTGATGGCCGTTTCTTGCTCTAACTGAACACCAGACAAATCCACAAAGGCTGACCTGTATAAAGAACTCAAAGGTCTTTCCCACTACATTCGCGCAAGACAAAGCAGACTCAGTTTAACTAATCCCAATCGCAGCTCTTGACAAAAAACCAATTCGCTTATTTCATTTGTACGCATGTGGCTAAACGGGTTACTGTGCCAGCTGGTGACAAGCGCCTGCTCCAGTGCATGGTCACTATAAATACCAGTGACGCAAAATTTGACGATCGCTTTTTTTGCTATTGCACATTGACTGTGGCTTTTATCGGTTACGCTTGTATAAACTCTTGGTAAAGCGTATTATTTCTCTTTGTATCATCAAAATTTATTTTTTGCTCAGCTGTCCGTACATCATGCACAACGTAAAGGTGAGAAATGAAACGTAATATAGCTTATCGTTAGTATGTATTACATTCTTGTCTTTCTACATCTTTGTTTAGCTACCTTTAATCAAATTTTTTATACTAGAGTAGAATTAGATTGGCGTTTGTTTAAAACGGTATAATTAATTAAACGCTCGCATGGGTAATGATACTGGTTCGACAGAGTTGCCAGCTTATACCAAAACTGCAGAAATCTATTATATCCGTTCGGCAGATTCCCGCGATACCGACATTCTTACGTATTTAATCCTTGTAACCGGTTCCTTTTGTGCAGAGCTTTCTCTTCACCGTTACAATGGGCGGCTGCCTCGGCCTGGTCGTTTCCCAGTTCGGCTTCCCAGGACTCGGTCTCGGTTCTGGCCTGGGTGCCGGTCTGGGCGGCTTCGGCGCCGGCGGTATGGGGAACCTCGCCACGCTGGGATTGGCTCCGTTGTCCAACCAGTTCGGAATGGGCGGCATCAACCCTATGGCCAACATCGGCTCCAACGCCGGTTGGGGTCAACCCGTCGCTGTCCAGCCCATGGCCCAGCATCAGGGATGGGGCGCCCCCGTCGTCCAGCCCCAGCTGCAGCCCGTTCAGCTCTACACACCGCAGACCCAGGTCAACCTCCGTCCCGTGCAGTTGATGGTCCCCAGAACAAGGTCGAACTCAAACCGGTCCAGTTGTTCTCCCAGGTCCAGCCGCAGGTCAACCGCGGATGGGGCAGCCAGAATACTGCGGCTGTTGCACCAAGTGTTAGTACTTCAAATGTTGCTGCGCCGGCAGTGGCGACAGCGTCCGTGCAGCCGTCGTCTGCGAGTTACTCGTAAAAACTTCGATGTTTCCTTGTTGACTTTAAACTGCAGTTTGAAATGTAGTTTTTTTTAACCGGTTAAAATGTATGCTGTAGAGCGTGGTTGTTATATGCACATTTGTGAAAACATTTACAAGAATGTGCTGTGCGTTACTTTTTAGTGTTCGCAAACAAACGTTGTTTGCAATTTGTGCAGTGATTTATTTGGGAGACAGAAATTATGAGAAACCAATTACTATTACATTAAAGGCTGTTTTATCTGCTGGTTGTGTCTTTTTAGCATCTGCAATATCATTTCACAATTAGATTAAGCAACCGTTAGACCTGACCATCATTGTTTTTTTTCAGTACGGTTGCATAAAGCAATCAGTTAACAAACAGTTGTATTCAGTTAACAGTGCGGTTGCATAAAGCACAAAGCGAGCTCCAGATGCAAACCATCGATTATCCTGGAACTATCGTGCATTCGTTATGAAAGCGCTGTAAAAACCACACGATAAAGAACTTCTACTCGGTAAACCTTTTAGAACTCCCGGTAGCTTTCTTTGGATAATGCAAAGCGCCTCAAAAACACATTCATCAAAGCGATCAAACCGATGCAAACACCTGATCATGCAACAAATATGATTATGTCAGTGGTTACAAGTTCACACCGGCCTTTTTCTAACACGATACTGAACCAATATTTTGAACCAATAGCCTTTTTCTAACATGACACTGAACCGGAGTAGCAGTTTGCTAAAGGATACTGTAGCATACTATCAGGTTTCCCTTATCATAATACTGTATTTACAATAAAGTGCGATAATCGTAACCGGGAAGCGCCATGTACGAGCATTACTATTTACGGATTCGGTTACCGTCGTTGATCTTCGTGCTCTTAAGTAAGACAACTATTTTACTCACTTTAAGTAAGACATCTTTTAAAGAATATTAAGGCCCATAAGTAATTAGTGTAGACGATAATTATTGTAAATTATGTATAATCACGTATATTAATACTTGACTTCAATGCTACAATATGATGGTTGCTGGCTAGCAGGGAGACTAGCGTCGAAATAAGGGCAGCGGTAGGTAGAACAACGGAAGTTGATAGGACGTAACAGCAGTTAGGTACATCGTATGACAGCAGGAAACCACGAGGAACCACAGTGGTTGTTTATTATTATTGTTATTATTAATATGTGTTTTTCCGAGTCCTATTAAATGCTTTTCTTCCTCGCAGGTGCGGTTGTTTTCGAGACTACAGGAGTCAATGCATACGTGGTGGGCAAGTATAATGCGTCGCTCGGTGCGTCCCTGGATCTCGCTTACGGCAGATTATGCGGCTTTCCCAATGTGATGCCGGCAATGGAGAATCTCCAACCGGAAAAGGTACGTTTGTTATACTTTGCTTGTGCGCATTGTCAAACAGAAACTATTCGAAAAATACGATTTAAAAAATTAAGTGAAGTCAGTTGATGATTACATGTAGCGTAGTGTACCGGTACAGATTATTTCTTTATACAATTAAACAGTCAACACCTACTGTAATAAAAAGGCTACTACTATATAGTCTACTGTAATAAAACATGCAATAGAAGCAAGACCTCAGATTAATTTATATCCAAAAACTTATTAAACAATAACTACATGAAACTAGAGTGAAAGTTATTATATGAAAATAATAACATCTATCAATCCTTCTCTATCCGTTATCTTTATGCGCATGACGTGCAAAGTGTTTCGGTTTAATATTGAAAACAGAAACATGAAAATCAAATGATCAATTAAAATTTAACAAATAAAAATCAAATTAATAGTAAATATTACTGACCCTAGAACTTGCGATTTTCACCGTTGATACTTATGCTACCTTAGAATAACGTTAAAACACCGAAAATACCAAAAACCCCGATTTGTAATGTGTGAATAGACCTATGGATTGTGGTATACCTACCGAGCGCAGACGTCATCGTTGGTACCGCACAGCATCAATGAGAAATTTTTCGTGTACAAGATTAAATCAACCGTCGTGCCGTTGACGGGTATCCGAGCGGATTACCAGTGGATCGTGGGATCGAACTATTACTCCACGCAGCCCGGCGTCTGTCAGTTCTGGTACTGGGTCGGCAGTGTCGGACGCGATGGGACGGAGCGAGGTGATGCTTACTCATCCCGATCCGAGTATCTGCCTAGTACGTTCTTCTGCCGGCTAGCTAACCTGTAACAAAGATCATCGTTTAACTTTGTTTTTTATTCGGCAGTTCCCAACCATTTTGTGGCTGTGCTGCATGAATACGACAAATTCTACATTGAGTACGGCTGCGCGGAAACAAACCTGGCCACCGGCATCTGCAAAGCGCCGATCGTACTCGTCAGCACCCGGACACGGCCCAGTAAGCTGTCGGCCTATGACCGCCAGGAGATCGACCGGGCCGTGAATGCGGTGCTTGCACCGTACTGTCTAACGGCGGAGGATATTCCGCTACAGAGCTTCGTGGATGCCACATCTGACTGCGAGTTCCCGGAACCGCCAGAGTGTGTGGCGCAAAGAATAGAAGCTCTTTCGCAGCTACCCGCACCAGTATTCTAACCCCTGCTAATCAGAACCCAATGCACTATTCAGATGCCCATGTAATAAATGTTTTAAACTATTCTGTGTGTTTTAAATAAAACTTAACTTTTTAACGGGTTTGGGGTTAACACTGCAAGAATTCATCGAGCTTACCTACAACAAAAACTTCAATACCGCGCAATGCATTTCGCGAGAGGTGGATTACGAGCGTTTTTTGCGGTTACACTGATGTACAGTGTTACTGTACTGTAAAATACGGATTGTATCGCCATCTTGATTGCCATATTCTGCATGGTTTAGGTTTACATGAACCGGCTGCGTACTGGAGTTATGCGAAAGCTAACAGTTAAAGCGTTTTGGATTTCGGTTTGTCATTTCAACTGCCTTATGATACTAGAAATTTCCTGATATTCTATGAGCAGCTGCTAATTATTCTCAGACGTTAAATTTTTTGACCGTACAAGTGGTGGTGTGTAGGGCGCGGTTGTTTACATTTTCCATTTTCCACGAGACCAGCCCTTGCCGATTTGTTACTCATAAAATTTTTTATTTATTCACGAAAACGGACATACCAGCTGCATAATTACAAACGTTTGTTTTTTAAAACAAATAACAAAATTGTACGCACAGAAAGCGTTCTACACAACACTGAAACACTGGAAAACATAATTATACAGTATAATCGCGCGCACGTATTTGCTGGCACGCATAATCCGCCGGCACTTTCACCCCAAATATATATATATATATATATATATATATATAGTCTGGATGGCAGCAGAAATTTCTATGGCTTATGAAAGCATTAATGCTTCCATAAGCCATAAAAATTTCTGCTGCCATCCAGACTAATTAATTACCTGAATACCGCATGGTTACAAATTTAATTTTAATCTCTGCCGTATATTGTTTGTTGAACGGAGGAAATATTTAAGGATGTGTACGCACAATGCGTATTTGTCATAGAAATTGTACTGCAAACAATCCCGATCTTGTAGTCCAGTTTTTGCTGCTATAGTATGCGGCTATGCCCAAAGGAACAGTCTTTTGCTATAAACTGCTCATGAACCTGATACAAAATTTTACAAAATATTACAAAACCAACGTTGACAAAATATTTAGGAATACAGACTTACAGTTTAAATAAAATTCAGTTCAATACTGTGCATCGCGGTACGCCATATAGGCCATATACGCGGTACGCCACGCTGAAGCGTTGAATTAAAGCACAGGCTCGGGTAGCTGCGAAAGCGCTTTTATCTTTTGGGGAACGCACTCGGGTGGTTCGGGAAATTCGCAGTCGGGTGTGGCATCCACGAAGCTCTGCAGCGGAATATCCTCCGCCGTCAGACAGTACGGTGCAAACACCGCATTCACGGCCCGGTCGATCTCCTGCCGGTCGTAGGCCGACAATTTACTGGGCCGTATTCGGGTGCGTACGAATGCCATCGGTACTCTGCAGATGCCGGTGGCCAGGTTGGTCTCCGCACATCCATACTCAATGTAGTATTTGTCGTCTTTATGCAGCACCGCCACAAAATGCGTTGGGACTATGAGAGAAACAAAAAAATATAATGGTAACCATTGCATGGTGTTCAGTTAGCCAAATAAAGAAAACAACGAAGAACATACTGGGAATATAACTGCTGCGTGACAAGTAAACATCGCCTCGCTCCGTTCCATCGCGTCCGACGCTGCCGACCCAGTACCAGAACTGACAGACGCCGGGTTCCGTTGGATAGTAGTGCGATCCCACTGTCCACTGGTATTCCGCCAGGATACTGGTCAGCGGTACCACCGTCCGGCTGATCTTGTGCACGTACAGTTTCTCGTTGAGGCCGTGCGGTACGAATGGTGAAGTAAGTGCCCGGTAGGTGTACCACAGTCCGTGCGTCTGCTTATACAAACCATGAGGTTGTTTCGACATCTACATGTATATGTGCATATACCTTTGAATATTAAGCGAGAAACCATTATAAACCACCACTAGACCTTTAACAACCACTGCCTAAAAAATAAATGAGACTTTTTGAAAATTGTTTTAAGCTGATGCTTCGTATATTACTTCGCATAACAGATTCTTAGTCCGATTACGAATGCGATATCAAATTGGTAGACGTAATAGTATGCCATACATACAGACTATTATAAAATACACATAGATACACATAGATATAAAGGTCCGAGTGCAAGGTGTGCGTTAAAAGTTTTGTATCTTTTCAAATATTAATGCGCAAATAATTTGAATTCGCAATATACCTTTTCCGGCTCGAGACTCTCCATTGCCGGCATCACATTGGGAAGACCACATAGTCGACCGTAGGCCACATCCGGTGTGGCATAAACCGAGGCATTATACTTGCCAACGACGTATGCGCTGGCTCCTGGTGTCTCGTACGAAACGAGCCCATAACCGCCGGAAAAAATCGAACAACACAAGGAGTTGAGCAGATTTTTAATATTATCACTTTCTAACAAGCTGACGTTATTTAACTACTGGAGTGATATTTCTGTTATAGTGAAAACAATTCTTACTGATTGCGAGCAGCACCATGGCTAAAGGCGATAACGGCAGGTGGGCATGATAATCCATTTTGCGGATAATATCTGCGGTACTTTGTATATTTATTAACGAATACAAAAAAAGGTTCAAATCTGCCGCTAAAGATATAACCAGCAACCGGTAGAATATTTACGAGTACGGATTCAGCCAAATAAAATGCTACGGTATTGCACTGACTGCACCAGCTTGTCCCGGTCGCACAGTAGCGGAGATGTTATGTAGTTTTGTCGTTGCGTAACAGTAATTATGCACAAACATATTACACATAACACAGGATCCAGATTGTGTCACTAGGGCAGATGCATAACGCGGGTGTGACATAATACTTTACGAATAATTCACGCAACGTCCACACCTTCCCGAGATGCAGATTGGTCTTGCTGCAATTCTCACCGTCGACGATCTGCAATTTGTGTAATTATAATAATTATAATATTATTGTAGTATATACCATGAATATGCGATTTGCTATCCTTGGTAAGTGAAGATCAGCAAGTGCCTTTTAAAAGATTCCCTGTAATTATTTGACTGTTATTGATTTAAGATTTTGTAGCAGCAAACGACATTAATACAACATTAATTCTGTACTCGACATTCAGTAAGACTGCACAAATTAATTGTTTGTTTTTAGTTATGGGGACAATCAGCGTCCTCGTCCAAGCTGCCAAAAAATCCGAATCTCCGCTGTATCCACCCTCACCGGAATTTGGTTATGGCCAGTTTTCCCGGCAATTATGTGGATTTCCTAATGAAATTCCGGGACTTATTAACCATCGTCCAAAAGACGTAAGCCAACGGTGTGCACGTACTGTTTTTCAGCTACCTATTGTATACACCGCTTTTATCCACAAAGTTAATACATGTAATCCTCGTTTTTAAAATTAATTTAAACACTAACTAAATACAGGTTTTGAAAATTAAATAATTTTATTAATTATTAAACAATATAATAATAAAAATATGATCTTATTAAATTTAACACTGAATATCGCTGATATGGATGTATAAAACTAATAAAACAAATTAATGAATGAGTAATTTATTTTGGTACAAATAGATACACGGATTATGGCACACCTACCGGCAAGTGTTACCCGGCGGGATACACATGACCAACTCGCGGGTATTCATTTACGGCATTAAATCCACGGTGGTGCCCTTGACCGATATCCCAGCAGAATACCAGTGGCAAGTGGGCGCGGCATATTTTGCACCGGACAACACCTGCCATTATGGCTTCTGGGTAGGACCCGTGGGGCGGGACGGAAGTCAACTGTTCGATGAATACTTATCGGATACCGGCTACGCACCAAGTACGGAGCGCCGCTTAATTTTTTTGAATATGATTCAGCACAAACCGTTCGGAAAGTAATTTGCCTGCATAATAATAATTAGAAATAAGAACGTAATTTGCCATACATTGATACACTGTTACGCTTTGCAATCCCACCACACAATAATTTAGTCGAGAAACGAATTTAAAAATCGCCAGAACCGATTTTATTATCACCAAAGCCGGGATTATCAGTCCAACTCTGTTACAGTGGATTTGCTTTCCGTTATTTATTCGCTAATACTAAGAATTATTAAAATTCAATGGATTAATATTATGTACAAGGATTGTGGTTGATGACGTTAAATTTAATTAATGGACAATTATTTAATTTTTATTATTAGGGCCATGATATTTTCTTTGAACGTTTTTGGGATTTCACTGAGATGAGGAGTAATTTGTTTGTTTATTTCTTACAGGCGCATCAAATTTGGTTGCCCTTCTATATGACTACAACAAATTCTCCATCGATTACGGTTGCGCTAAACCCAATCTGCGCACCGGCTTATGCGAGCAGCCGGTGGTGTTCGTCAACACACGGAAGCGGCCCAGCAAGATGACGTACAGCGAGAAGGCCGAAGTGGACCGCGCGATCAATTCCGTGTTCACTCCGTACTGCATCAGTGCGGAGGACATCCCGCTGCAGACCTTCAACGATGCCAAGCCGGATTGCACGTTTCCCTCACAGCCCGGATGTGTCGCCAAGAAAATACAAAGCCTCTACGCATTACAAGAGGTCCCGGCTAAGATAACAGAATTCAGTGATCACTAGGAATCTCGTTCCGAAAATGAAATAATTATTGTACTTGTGTACATACTAAGTAGTTTTTTTGTTCTACATGCAAAATGCATTTCATTCGACTGATCGTAAAAGAAAAAAATGTGTCAGAAATTAAAGAGGATATCACCCTATATTTAGCGACAAAACAGTGCACCAACGGCGCCTAATTCTGCATGACCTTTATGAGTAAAATAAATACTGTACAACGCAAACCAAACAATTACGTTGAACAAGTGTCCGTTTTACAGCGCACCATTGCAACAGAAAAATAGTTCCTAGGCTAAGTTTTTGTTTTCGTTACAAAACAGTATTACCGCATACCTAAACTAAAACACAATCACGGTCGATCTGCACGTGTAAACCGATGAACTATTGTATCTCGTAATGGTGGAACTAATGATTACGCTGACGGTCGCAAGAGAAATGAAGCTCGCAGCTTACTGCTGGTTTCCTTTACTAGATAACAGCAAAAATAATTATAAAATCTTCGTAATAAAATTTTAATATTATGTTGGGTACGAATAATAGGTGCGATATTATTTGGTGCGCCATTAATATTATTGGGCGCGCCAAAGTAACATTATATTGCTAGCATTACATTATTGCTGTTTATATACTTTTTTGCCCTTTTATACATAATTATATAGACTAAATTTCCGATACTCCTAAATATGGACAACTAGCCCCAGAACTATTCTAAATAATTTTGGGTGAAATTAAGTTCTTAACAGGAAAAGGTATACTGGCGTGCACTAACAGACCGAACGATGCGCATCGGATCGATCGGTGTGTAAATTAGATTTTTATTACAGAATGTGTTTTGATTTTCTGTCAGTTTTCGATGCTATCAAGTTATCAACCCGCACGGTAACCTCTTTAATTTTCTAAAATAAGTGGATAACCTGCTACAATGGCACAATAAATTTCCGTACAACAGGGCTGCCGTGACGATCACCCGGGATAACATAGATGACGACCGGTTGGTCAGTATAAGGTGGGTTGGTGTTATCAACAGGGAGATTTGCATACGCCGAAGAAGGACATTCGCGCAGTACGTTTCAATTTTCACAGTACATCGCTTACGCGGGTTAATTCCCTATTCGCATTGAATATTTTTTAATTTGAAGCCTTTACTTTCAGTCTGATTTCAGTATGTTTCAGTAAGTTTTAGTTTGGCCATTTTAAACTTTTATGTAAAAAATGCTCCTCAATTTTATGCGCCACTTTTGATTCTGACCCGATTCCAGAAATTAAATGAATAACGTAAACGGTACAAAAGTTAACAGTCAATTAGTGTCAACGCTTCATTTGTAAATTTTTCAGTGCCGGTTAATTTGGTAGTCGGCCTCCGCTGAACGATTTTCGTTTCCAAAAGGTGCATGTACCGTACGGACACAATTCGAAATTCTATTCTTTAATTAACCATTTTTACCGGTATAAGGGGCTTCCAAACTGCGTTATTGATTACTTCATAATAGCCTGTTATCCAATTAAGGCACGATTTGAGATGCTAAAAAAATTAAATCTTTAATGTGCTGTCAGTTGATACTGGATCATGGATCTTCTAAAGTTAAACCAATGAGAAGATCAGTGTTGATACCCATGACTCGAAGCGTCGAGTTGGCGCAGTCTTGTGGCTGCAACGGTAAACTGCAGTCGGGCTTGTTGTCGTCGTACTGCTGGAGCGGGATATCGTCGGCTGACCGGCAGTAGGGCGCAAACACGGCGTCCACCACGCGGTCAATCTCCCTCTTTTCGTGGTATGACAACTGGGTCGGGCGTACTCGGGTGCTGACGAAAACGATCGGGGAGGCGCAGATTCCCGTCTTCAGATTGGGACTGCTGCAGCCATAGTCGATGGAGTACTTCCGGTAATCGTACTTTATAGCCATAGTGCTTTGCGGATCTGATCGTGAATCAAATTACCATCATTAAACAGTTGTCGTGAACAGGTACATGGTAAAGTTTATCTAATCGTAAGTTATCAAAATCCAGCTTCAAACTGAAAATAATCAAAGGGCATCGACAAACGTGACAACAAACGCGCGTAATACTGACGTTTTGCTTATACTAGTATTTATTTATGTGCTACTTGATGTTTACATGAATACGAGAGCATATGGCACAATAAAACGAAAAAATAAGCTGAACCAAGGTTTTGTCAAAACGTTTTTGGAGATTTCTCTACATGAGCCATTTCTTTACCTAATACTCTTGGAAAAAGTCGATGCCTAGTAAATTATATATAAATGAAAAGTATCTATAGAAGAAAATTCAATAAATTTGATTTTCCGAATCAGTATTTTGCCGAAGCAAAATGTTATTATTTTGTGTTCAGGTTTAATTATTGTAGTTGAAGTATCAGGCATGCGGGATACTTCGTATCCCGCATGCTAACAGGAAATTATTTAGCCAGTAGAGTATTCAAAAACAGTAAATTCCAGCCATATTGTAAAATGGTGTCGAGGGGAAAGAAATTCTTGTAGAATTAGCGCGTGCCACTGCATATTTATTAAACAGTATCCTTACACACTTACAGTAGCATATTGCAGTAATTCTTATTATTTGTTTGTATCGTCTATGGTATCCATGAATCATTAGCAGTATTAAGTGAAGCTGCAATAATCGTCTCTTACTGGGAGCATATGACGGATTGGTTTCCGAATTATAATCGATCCCGATCTGGCTGCCGTCTCGTCCCACTGTACCGATCCAGTGGTCGTACTGACAGGTGTACGTGTTGCCGCCATCCGAGGAAGAATAATAGGAAGCCGGTAGCCATTGAATTTCGGCAAAGGTATTCGTCAACGGGACAGCACTGGCGTTCAGACCATAAACGCCGAAAATATCATTAAGAGTAGTCGTGCCATCAGAGGATTCTAGAATTCGGTAAATATACCATTGTCCATGCACCTACATTATAATGTATCTATATTTATTTCTCATGAGAAAAAAACCTTAATTAATGTTACCGCTTCCGGACTCCACTGGGGGCACTGGAGCCCCGGCTGCTGGGAGGCTGGTGCTCTCTGTGATCGGCTGTGTGCGGTGACCGTGGGTCAGCGAGAAGCCGGCCGACCGGGGGTCGGCGGAAGAGAGCGACCAGTGCCCTGCGCAACCGAAGGCCCCTTTATTGAGCAGGTGCGAAATAACAGCACAAGAAAACAGCAGGGTGTGGCGGGTGGTAAAAGAACAGAGATCACTCGCGCGCACACGATATCTAAGGAGCAAAGACAGACAGCAGTGAGAACTGCAGAACCATGCAATGCGAGCACACGAACAGTACCAAGTGCAAACAGCATGCCCGTGCATGACGGCGGCCGCTTTGATCTAAGCGCCACGGCGACGCGCAGCGCCACCAACAGACTCACGTAACTCGCAACACACGGCGAAAGGAGACAGAGCGGGAGCGCATGTCCTCCAGCTAACATTAACATCAATTAACTCGTTAATTGTCATTTAATGTTACCGCTTCCGGACTCCACTGGGGGCACTGGAGCCCCGGCTGCTGGGAGGCTGGTGCTCTCTGTGATCGGCTGTGTGCGGTGACCGTGGGTCAGCGAGAAGCCGGCCGACCGGGGGTCGGCGGAAGAGAGCGACCAGTGCCCTGCGCAACCGAAGGCCCCAAACAAAACCCCAAACAACCCAATATAAGAATTGATGAGCAGTTGCACGGTTCTGCGGATGTATTTGCTGAAGATTCGGAGTTCAATTGGGAGAAGGCAAAATCCGGCTATCTTTACGTCGCCAAGGCTGACGTCGTTACGTTGCCGATAAGGAGTGGTGCGGTGTTATGATCCCGGCGTGGTATGGCAGGATCCGTGGTATGTCAGCATCCAGTCAGGTTTTTCCAAGCAAAGTGCAACCACCGCTAGTGACCTGCTTGCCGTCGGAAGTAAGCGCACCGGAGGTGGTGGCTTTGTATGCTGTCCGAGGAAGGTGCAACCGCTGCTGGGGTCTGCTTGCCGTCGGAGATAAGCACGGGAAGCACCGGAGGTGATGGCCTTGTATGTCGTCCGAGGAAAGTGCAACCGCCGCTGGGGGTCTGCTTGCCGTCGGAGGTAGGCGCACCGGAAGTGGTGGCCTTGTATGCCGTCCGAGGAAGGTGCAACCGCCGCTGGGGGTCTGCTTGTCGTCGGAGGTAGGCGCACCGGAAGTGGTGGCCTTGTATGCCGTCCGAGGAAGGTGCAACCGCCGCTGGGGGTCTGCTTGCCTTCGGAGCCGGAGGTAGGCGCACCGGAGGTGGTGGCCTTGTACGCCGTCCGAGGAAGGTGCCACCGCCGCTGGGGGTCTGCTTGCCGTCGGAGGTAACTGTGGCCGTCACTGCTGGCTTGCCTTGCCGTCCAAAGTAGGCGGTTGCAGTTAGTGGCACGCATTGTCGCTAGATGTAGGTGCAGTTGTGGCTGGAGGCTTACCTACCTGTTGGACACAATCCGGGCGTAGTTGCAGGTAATGTGTGGTCGTCGGAGGAGGATGTGGCCGTGGTTGAAGGCCTGCTTTGCCGTCCGCGGTAGGTGTAGCCGTCGCTGTTGGCTTGCCTTGCCGTCGGAGCTGGGTGCGGCCTTAGTTATAGCCTGCCCTGCCGTCCGAGGTGGTGCAACAGTCATGTTGGCTTTCATGCCGCCGGTGGGAGGGAAAGCCGTAGCTGGAACAACCCGCTTTGCCGTCGGAGGTGGTGGAGCCATCGTTGGTGGCTTGCTGTCCGCAAAAGTTGGTGACGACATAATTGTTGGCTTGCCCTTCCGTTGGAGAAAGGTGTTGCCGTCTTTGGTGTGCCTGCTTGCCGTCTGAGGAGGGCGTCGCCGTAGCTACGGAGCATGAGTCGCGTCCGTGGAAGCTGTAGCTGGCTTTAGTGGCCTGGTATGTCGTCCGAGGAAGGTGCAACCGCCGCTGGGGTCTGCTTGCCGCAGGAGGAAGGCGCAGCCGAAGTTGGTGGCCTTGTATGCCGTCCGAGGAAGGTGCAACCGCCACTGGGGGTCTGCTTGCCGTCGGAGGTAGGCGCAGCCGAAGTTGGTGACCTTGTATGCCGTCCGAGGGAGGTGCAACCGCCGCTGGGGGTCTGCTTGCCGTCGGAGGAAGGCGCAGCCGAAGTTGGTGGCCTTGTATGCCGTCCGAGGAAGATGCAACCGCCGCTGGGGGTCTGCTTGCCGTCGGAGGAAGGCGCAGCCGAAGTTAGTGGCATTGTATGCCGTCCGAGGAAGGTGCAACCGCCGCTGGGGCTCTGCTTGCCGTCGGAGGAAGGCGCAGCCGAAGTTGGTGGCCTTGTATGCCGTCCGAGGAAGGTGCAACCGCCTCTGGGGGTCTGCTTGCCGTCGGAGGAAGGAGCAGCCGAAGTTGGTGGCCTTGTATGCCGTCCGAGGAAGGTGCAACCGCCGCTGGGGGTCTGCTTGCCGTCGGAGGTAGGCGCAGCCGAAGTTGGATGGCCTTGTATGCCGTCCGAGGAAGGTGCAACCGCCGCTGGGTGTCTGCTTGCCGTCGGAGGTAGGCGCAGCCGAAGTTGGTGACCTTGTATGCCGTCCGAGGAAGGTGCAACCGCCGCTGGGGGTCTGCTTGCCGTCGGAGGTAGGCGCAGCCGAAGTTGGATGACCTTGTATGCCGTCCGAGGAAGGTGCAACCGCCGCTGGGGGTCTGCTTGCCGTCGGAGGTAGGCGCAGCCGAAGTTGGTGACCTTGTATGCCGTCCGAGGAAGGTGCAACCGCCGCTGGGGGTCTGCTTGCCGTCGGAGGAAGGCGCAGCCGAAGTTGATGGCCTTGTATGCCGTCCGAGAAAGGTGCAACCGCCGCTGGGGGTCTGCTTGCCGTCGGAGGAAGGCGCAGCCGAAGTTCGTAGCCTTGTATGCCGCCCGAGGAAGGTGCAACCGCCGCTGGGGGTCTGCTTGCCGTCGGAGGTAGGCGTAGCCGAAGTTGGATGACCTTGTATGCCGTCCGAGGAAGGTGCAACCGCCGCTGGGGGTCTGCTTGCCGTCGGAGGAAGGCGCAGCCGAAGTTGGTGGCCTTGTATGCCGTCCGAGGAAGGTGCAACCGCCGCTGGGGGTCTGCTTGCCGTCGGAGGTAGGCGCAGCCGAAGTTGGTGGCCTTGTATGCCGTCCGAGAAAGGTGCAACCGCCGCTGGGGGTCTGCTTGCCGTCGGAGGAAGGCGCAGCCGAAGTTCGTGGCCTTGTATGCCGCCTGAGGAAGGTGCAACCGTCGCTGGGGGTCTGCTTGCCGTCGGAGGTAGGCGCAGCCGAAGTTGGTGGCCTTGTATGCCGTCCGAGGAAGGTGCAACCGTTGCTAGCGGTCCGGTCTGCCGTCCGAAGGAGGTGCGGCTGTTAGGTCTGTGCCCGCTTGCCGTCGGAGGAAGGCGCCGCCGTAGGCGGGGGGCCTGCCTGCCGTCCGAGGAAGGTGCCCTTGATAGATCACCAGCTCGCTGTCGGATGTGTGCTCCGCCGAGGGGAATGAGCCTGTCAGCCGTCCGAGGAAGATGCGGCCGCCGTTAATGGGCCTGCTTGCGTCAGATATGGGGACAGCTATTCGTAGGCGGCCTAATTGCCGTCCATGGAAGGTGTGGCTGCAACTGGGGGCCTACCTTGCCGTCCGAGGATGGTGCAGCTCTCGTCAGTGGCCTAGTATTGCGCCCGGCTGTTGGAAGGGGGCTGTCGCTGTCGGAGGTAAAGCGGCCGTAGTTAGGGTGCTTCGTTGCTGTCCGAGGGAGATGCAGCCGCAGTTGAAGGCCTGTGTTGCCGTTAGAGTCACGTGCAGCCGTTGGCGGTGGCTTGACTGACGTCGTGGTTAGGTGCGAGTCGCCACCGTAGTTGGAGGCCTGCCCTGCCGTCCAATGAAGGGCTCGCGTCAAAACTGGTGCAGCTTTCCTTCGTGGCCTAGCTTCCCGATAGGCCTAGCCACAGCAGATAATTGATGACGGGTGTAACTTGTCCGCTGAGCAGTGGTTGATCTTGGCCGCTTTTCCCTTCGCACTGATGGTTCTCCGGAGGGCCGCTTAACGAGCGAGTGGCGTTCAAGCTGAGTGCGAGCTGTTCGCTTGGCTCTTCGGATGCGGTGTGGATTTAGATGACGCATAAAGAGCTGCTCTGAAATTCTGGCGAGGATATAACCAGTCACCGATGGTGACAGTCTGACAGAACCTAGAAAGCGATAACGAGGAGCTGAGCCATCGCACAGATGGCAGCTAGAAAACAGCTATCGCAGATGCGCGGAACACGGCGCGCGGAACGGCTAAACATTCCGAAGTCCAAAATGCAGATCAAGGAAGATGGAAGATCTCGATTCCGAACAGAAAAGAACAGAGATCACTCGCGCGCACACGATATCTAAGGAGCAAAGACAGACAGCAGTGAGAACTGCAGAACCATGCAATGCGAGCACACGAACAGTACCAAGTGCAAACAGCATGCCCGTGCATGACGGCGGCCGCTTTGATCTAAGCGCCACGGCGACGCGCAGCGCCACCAACAGACTCACGTAACTCGCAACACACGGCGAAAGGAGACAGAGCGGGAGCGCATGTCCTCCAGCTAACATTAACATCAATTAACTCGTTAATTGTCATTAAATTTTTTGCTGTATTTGTTAGTTATGCTACTGTAAGTACATCACCAAAACTGTCAGTCGAAGATTTTAAATTTTGGCAAAAGGTCCATCGTATCTTTTTCTAATTAAAAAATTAAAACTTAACTGTGCATTAGTGTGGCGGTGGTAGAATTTTCTTAATTTTAATGGCTGTTGCCTATTAAAGACTAATTTAATAAATAGTAAATGTAGGGAAAATTTTAATTTCAATTACGTACGTCTTCCGGTTTATGGCTTTCCCACGGTGGGAGCATATTGGGAAAGCCGCACTTTTTATGGTAGTAGCGGTCGCTGTTGCGGTAATTGGGCTGCGCATAGGAAGAGTTGTAATACCTTTGAGCGGTGTTTCCATGTAGAGCTACGAACACAGGTACTTGTACAAATAAATTCAGGCAACCAAAATATCTTTTAAAATTATAACTTTACTTGTTGTTATGCTTTTTATAAAATGCGTTGTAAACGCCTTGTATGATGCCAGTATAAGAAACACCTGGCTGTCTATTTATAAAAAGTAGTTCTTTTAAATTTTAAATATTATTATTAGATATTGATGGCTTATGGAAATTTACAGTGTATGCGCAGATTTCGCCGATGCTACCCGTTTTCATTGCGGGAAGTCGAGAAAATGATCCACAAATATAATATTACTGTATTATTTATTGTATTAATGTATTATTACTAAAACTCCCAAATAAGTTTGTGTATTTATCATTTAAATCTTTGCTGTCATCCATACTGTAAGGAATAATTGTAGTGAATAGTAAATTAGTTACAATGTAAAACTTTTTTAAGTAGTTAAAGAATTTGATCAGCGGCAGTAGCGTAATTATTCAAGTAACAGCACTGAATTGGTAATAAAAGGTACACAATACATCGGGCAGTTAAAGTGCCAGATCTCCATGATCAGAACTTACAGGAAGTCGCCACGGCACACATTCCCAACAATATTCTGGCCAGCTTCATAATATTGAAAAATAGTTGGAATTAATACTTTATTACATTAAAATGACGGAAAAGCAGAAATTGTGTGGTTTTCGGGTTTACTGATATAAATGCCCAACCATAAATCAAACTACAAGAGCGTAGTTCTGTTCGCAAACCACAAATGGATGTGCTACCAAATTTTGAAAGGACGTAAAAATAAACACCCAACGGAAGTTACTACATTCACGTAATCCTGCTCGGTCAGACCCTTGCAGAAGCCCAGGAATTAGACCATACTTGGTCGTAGTTACAGTTATATGTTACATAAAGGTTTTTTCCTCAACCTAACCCGCATTCAATTTGTAACTGTGCAGTTGTTGTTATGAAATCCGCATGCTCAAAACCGGAATGACGTCATCGGTGCACTTCTGTAACAGACGGGCTTCCGTAACATCTTTGCGTTTAGCTGAGTTAGATGACCTTTCCTTCACTCCGGTCAATTATTGTGATAGCCTGAACAGTCTTTATATAGATATAACAAATGTAAATATCTGTCAAAGAAGATATTTTCCCAGTATATTTTAGTTGTACCACGGTATAATATGTCATGTGTAATGTTTACGGTTTGTTCTCGTAGCATTTCTCAATCTGCAGTGAATATTCTTTTAATTCAAACCTTCCGTTTTAATCAAAAGTTTTGCCTGGGCCATTTTAAGCCGTGATGTGGAAAAACACAATTTGAAATGCTTCCTGTAGATCATGGCGAGAAATAAATTTACGAATACCGTGAAAAAAATAAATTTTATCAATCAGTATCCGAAAAGCATGATCTGAGATATGGTCAGATACTCAGATCTGATGCTGGACCACGAATCCTCTGAAGTTAGATAGGGTTGAAATCACAATTTCAACCATTTCACATTTCAAGCTTCAGATCAATTTCATTGCAAATCATTTCAAAAACGGCCAAAAGCCGTTGGAATTTCAACCCTAGTTAGACCGACGAAGATATCAGTATCGATACCCATGACTTGCAGCGTCGAATTTGCACAGTCTTGCGGCTGCAGCGGTAAACTACAGTCGGGCTTGTTGTCGTCGTACTGCTGCAGCGGGATATCGTCGGCTGACCGGCAGTAGGGCGCAAACACGGCGTCCACCACCCGGTCAGTCTCCATCTTCTCGTGGTACGACAACTGGGTCGGGCGTACGCGGGTGCTGACGTAAACGATCGGGGAGGCGCAGATTCCCGTCTTCAGATTGGGACTGCTGCAGCCATAGTCGATGGAGTACTTCCGGTAATCGTACTTTATCGCCATGGTGCTTTGCGGATCTGAATCAAATTACCATCATTAAACAGCTGTCGTCAACAGGTACCGATAACACTCGTTTGACTCTGTTGGGTGTAAAGGCTTTATAATTAGTAAAATGGAAATAATAATTTCTGTGGAAAAAAATAATAAATTTAATTCCCAGTGTCCGTATCTGTATTCGAAGGATACAAAACAGTTAAAATTATAATTCCACAATGCGCAATTGAAATTTTCCGCGTCATCATTGTTAAAGAACAATAAATTATCGATTGTGGAATAATTCCCGGCCTTTTGTCATAACCAAAAAAGTTTTTGATGTAAATAGCGCATTCCATCGTTTTATATCTATTTTAAAACGGTATTTTCGTAATTTGGTATTTTGGCTATTTATTAGTAATGATTATCGCATTCATAAATTTTGTATTCGTATAAAGAAATCTGAAAGCTGAAAATAATCGCCACGTACTGGGAGCATATGCCGGATTGGTTTCCGAATTATAGTCGATCCCAATCTGACTACCATCCCGTCCCACACTGCCGATCCAGTGGTCGTACTGACATGTATACGTGTTGCCGCCATCCGTCGAAGAATAATACGAGCTGGGCAACCATTGATTTTCGGCAAAGATATTCGTCAACGGTACAGCGGTGGCATTCAGTCCATAAACGCCAAAGATATTGTTGAGAGTATTTGTGTCGTCCGAGGATAAATACTGCCGATAGATATACCACAGTCCATGTACCTGTACACATACAACTTGAAAATGGGCCTTCCTTATTGCACAGTATAATACATAGTTAGCAGTTTCGGTAGTTAAGGTACTGTGGTACGCACTGTACATTACCAAAATTGAGCGGCAAAAATAATTGAAACTAAATAAAAGTCTGCAGTTTATTTTTTAAATCTTCAATCTGATTAATTTACATACTGCATAATAAGTGTAGGAGAAATTTTGTAGATTTCCTGTTACATACATCTTCCGGTTTATGGCTTTCCCACGGAGGAATGGCGTTGGGAAAGCCACACTTCTTGTGGTAGCTGCGGTCGGTATTGCGGTAATTGGACTGCACATAGGAAGAACTATAATTTCTTTGAGCGCTGCTGCCATGTAGAGCTATGAACACAGGTACATATACAAGCAACTAGCTACAAGCGGCGAAAAAATCTGTGTAAATTAAATTAGGAAGTTGATACTTTATTTTTCGTAAAATTAATTGAATTATTTTAAGATAAGTAAAGATTTAGATTATGATTACTTCAGATTATTGATTTGCGCGCTTTAGAAATTACGAACCATACATTCTTGTAAAAGTGAAGCCTACTGTGAAGCGTCGGTAAAATTTTTGCGAATATTACAGTACAAATTGGTTTGGTGTACATACAATCAGCCGTTGGTTTGCAGTAACAGTTGAAATAAATGTTTTCTATACATTGATAGCTAACTGCATGTAAGAAAAGCAGTATACAAGACAGACTTTGAAGTAATTCAAAAGGGCTGCAACAAAATCTGGTTGAAGAAATCAGTAATTGACTACCTGATCGGCATTCGTATGACTATACAATCACCAGCGGAACAAATCCCATAATTATGCTAGAAAATTGTATAAATTTTACATTAATTGTCAGATATTTCCTAAACTGTTACTAAAAAATTTCTATATAAATTTTACGGTAATCGTTAGATAATTCCATGGCAATGACTTACAGAGAGCCGCTACAGCGCACACTCCCAACAATGTTTTGGCCAACATTATAGTAACGAAAAAAAGTAGATTTCAATAAAACTACTCGAGAACTTATTACAATAATAAATCCGTGGCTGCGGATACACGGACAGATGCCTCACCAAACAGAAAAGCAAAATCAGCTCTTCGCAAACTAAAAATGGAAGCGCTAGGAAATTTTGGAAGGACGAAATCAGCACCAACGGATGTTACCATTCACGTAATCCTGTTCGGTCAAACCCGTACAACAGCCCGGGAATTAGGTAACAGCTGATCGTAACTGTGTTTGTGCAATGTTTTTTGCTCTAACCCACATTCCGCTAAAAAATCAAACTCGACCTCGCATTTTTATCTGTGCTTTTGTTATGAAACCCGCATGTCCAGGACTCCAGAGTAGTTATGTTATGTACGAATATGTACGATGCCGTGTTCCCTATTCAACACGTTCCCCGGAGTACAACTGGTATTTAGTTTCTCGCATCGCGCAATTTTAAATCCACAGAAGTATTGAAGATTTAAATATATGTACATAGTTAAGAGAATGTAAAAAATAAATGCATCAGTATTGACACACTTTTTCACTTTTACAGATAGATGCTACTCCATGGTACACTGTACCGCCTAAGGCTCTAGCTCAATAACGATAATCGAATAATGTCATACATAGAAATTAATATGCTAATTGAAAAAATGCGGATGTAAGCAATACCAACCACGTCGTTCAAGGGGTAATTATTACAAAAATTAACGGCAATATTATTTTCCTCTATAACTTTATCGTCGTTGATTTTGGTTATCGATAATACTTCCATTTCTATTTTATTCCTTTTCGATAAATAAGTCGCATTGTTTCAGCTGCGAAGCATATTCAGATACCAGCAAAATTTTCTTAATACACCGTTTCGTTACCATTTCAAATCGAACCAACTGTAGACTAAATTGTAACTCCGTATAATTAAATTTATCCTGAAAAGGTCCAAAACATTAATAGGCTAACAGCAGTTAACCGTATCTGCGTCAACCGTCATATAGCGTGTGTAGATCTACGACGGCCTGAATGTCATCTCCCATGACCTGCAGCGAGTCATTCGCGCAGCCGACAGGCAGTTGTAAATTACAGTCCGATTTAGTGTCGTCGAACGGCTGTAGCGGGATATCGTCCGCCGACAGGCAGTAGGGAGCGAACACGGCATCCACCATCCGGTCGATGTCCATTTTGTCGCGTAGCGATAACTGGGTCGGTCGAACACGGGTGCTGACGTACACCAGCGGAGGTCACAGATTCCGGTGGCTAGATTGGGGATGTCACAGCCGCAGTCAATGAAAAATCTGCGGTATTCGTAATAAATGGCTCTAATTGTCTGTGGCTCTGTAAAGGAATAATATGCAGTTGTTACTGTGAACTAGTCAATAACTCATTGAAACAGATCACAATCGACGCTGATTCGTATAATTATATAACAAAATGAAAATTAATTTTTAAATTTAAGGATAGTTTTTATTTAGTATATTTAATACTTCTTTAAGGCTTATTTATTCAAATATTAGAAATAGATATTATCGGTAAATTTAGACGCATGCGCCTATGGATAGCTGAAGACAAGGCACACACAATAAAAAGGTCGCAGTAACTTCACATGGACATTTCGGCAGGCATGAAAATGATAGATTTACTGCTAAGGAAAAGGCGTTGTTTTGTTTCTTCAGTTCTTACTGGGAGCGTAGGGCGGGGTACTTTCCGAATTAAAGTCCGTGGCAATTTGGCTGCCGTCTTCGCCGACACGGTTAATCCAATGGTCGTATTGGCATGCGTACGTTGCGCCCCCATCCGTTGAGGAATAATAGGAACTGGGTATCCACTGATATTCCGCAAAAATGTTTGTAAAGGGAACAGCCGTGGTTTTTAGTCCGTATACACCATAAATATTGTTAAGGATATCTACCGGCTCGGTTGAAGATTTCTGCCGGTAGATGTACCCTTTCCACGCACCTATAATGTAAACGTTCGAAAAAGATTTATCTAAGGCTGTAATGTAAATGCTATGTGTTATACTATATAGGCTTTACACCGAATTTCCATGGCTATCACAAGAATGATATCATTTGTATTATAATAAATACTACCTTATTATTTAATTTAAGGACATTGACAACATCGGCAGCGTATGAAAGACTCCTGTTTTATTATTAGATTTATGTAGAAGTAATAAAATTTCAGTATATTTACCGTTAAAACTGCTAAACTGTTTTAGTATTTACCGCTGTTAATAAACATTTATTAAGCAGTGACATTCTGTTCAGTTTTCTAAAAGCGTACATCTTGCGGTTTATGATACCTCTCCCAGGGAGGAATCGTGTTGGGAAAGCCACACCGTAGACGCGAATAGCGGTAATTTGATTGCGCATATGAAGTATAATTTCTTTGGGCATGGATACTATGTGTATCTGAAACATGATTATTGCCAAACGAGATTTACATAAATTTACGATTTTCAAAAACACAAAAAACACGTGTAACCTACATATTAACATCCCAGTCCAAACTGCCAAAAAATGTTTTCCAGCACAGTGTGCAAGGCATGTTTACAATAATTTAATCCTAGTATTAGTGATGCAATGGCAGACAAGGAATATCCCGTATTGTTGGCAGAAGTCGTTGAATAAGTATCGCAAATGAAGCGCGCTGATATGTTGCGGAGAAGGTGTTGGAGATTCAAATAAAGATATGCAAAAGTATTTTGCAAGCTGTTCAAACATATACTGCATATACCGATGCGTCAAAATTACACAAATATTTTATAAAATGCACAAATAAAAGCTTCTACCGTATGTTTGAACCCAGCGCCGGGACACTGGTTCCTGATTTGCTTTCTTTTTTGAACTTCGTGACCGACTGGCTGATTTCAACTTTTTTTTAGCATTACAAGCTTGTCCCGTAATTTCCATCGCATCAGAACAGCGAACATTACAAATTTACGTGTTGCGCGTAAATCCGTACTACGGCGCGCCACGCCACACTGTTTAAACACGTAACATGCATTTGGCTGGCTGGTGGCTTGGTACACGCCATATAATTCAATGAGAATAACAGTAACTGCTTGGCGTAAGGTGGCTAAGAAACAGTCGGTGTGGTAATGGACAATCTAACTACGGAGCGGATTTAGGCAATCAGATAAGCGTAGTGACGTGGCCATCGTTTCAAGCGCAAATTTCGCGCTAGCTGTACCTTTACGATGGAAATTACGGGACAAGCTTGTACATTGCACTTATTCCGCACGTATGCCGTATCGTTGCGAAGTCAAAGAACATGCGCTTAGTTTCCGGTAGGTTTCAAGCTTTTTTATGGCTAAACCTTTGTGTTCGCTTGGTAAGGACATAAAATTATGGATAATGTGGTTGAAATTGTTTCCAAAATGCCTTCCTTGGTGACAGCCATGGCTACCGGCCAAAATTTGTTCGACTTAAGATAAAAAAATAAAACTTGTTAATTTTTTTCAGTCAGATATTGAGGTTTAACACTGATTTAAATTTTCGACGCGCCCTTGACCGATCCAGCATACTAATTCCAGCATGCACGTGACCATATCATTAAGCATTAAAACATATAAATAATAAGGCCTTGCAGCATGTGTATGGAAGGTTAAAGGTTGTACTTGTACTCTGTATGTAGCATTAGTTTGGCGCTACATATTGATCTGATATAAACACTGTACACCATGAATGCTCCTTGCACGAGTAATGGATGTCTTCGTGATTTAACGAAAGTACGTTAAGTATTTATACTGGGACAACGCACGAGTCGCTACCATTGTTGGACTTTTTTCCCCAAAGTTGCCCTAAAAATCTGTAGCGTAACGGAAGCTGAACCAGGCATGCTGTAGTATGCTGGCAATTTTGACATTGAACTTGTGGTTCTACAATTAAATACATTCGAACGTTGCAGCTGTATGTACAGCTAACGGTAAACGCGGTTTATCCCGGGTATCTGTGTTGCAATAAAAGTCAGTAACAAAATTTAAATCAACCATGTACAACATTTTGGTAAATTCGTACTAAGCGAGTGTAAATTTTGTAAGTGTTACAGAACTGTACAACGTTGATCTGATGATTACAGTTTAGTTTAAAGTTATTTATAGCTCTTATCACAACATGATACAAGTTTTATTACTGTTATTCGGTAAGTCGACAAATTAAATACTTATTAAGCATTCGACTACGTACGAGTAATAAAAACATTCAGCTTCTTATAAAGTTTCAACTGATGCACTTGCAACTTTTTACAGCATTCACCTTGATATATGCGAAAGCGTCCACCATTTACAATCCGGACAATCTGGATGCTCCCATATATCCACCCTCGCCGGAATTAGCCTACGGTCAATACTCGGCACAGCCATGTGGATTTCCCAATACTATGCCATCCTCCACCTATCTGCATGAGCCGAACAAGGTATACACGGCACAAATTCTCTCGATTTTGGATGTTTTTGTGTTAATGATTTTGACCATACTTCATTCTTGTTAGTGTAAATTTGCGTCGGCTTATTGATGCGTGTTCTGGCAGCTGTAGAATAATAAAGATTAATTTTATCTTTAATCATACTTTCTCTAATTTTCTTGTTGATCAGGCTTTTTCTATTTTAAATTACACTGATATTCGAATTCTGTTGTATTGATAATTATGTTTTTCTGTTTACCAAATTTTCAAATTTCCTTTACTTTTGTCATAACCGGGGAACCCAGATGTAATTTGTTTTATTTGTTAGACGTACGGATTGTGGTACAGCTATCGCCGCATCGCACCAGCGGGAACCCACACAATAAATGGCCGCTTTTTTGTACACAGCATCACCCGGACGGTGGTGCCGCTGACGGAGACGAGCGCCGAGTATATGTGGTTTGGGTTCTCCAATTATCACTCGCCAACGGGCGACTGTCACTACGGCTACTGGGTGGGCAGTTTCGGAACGGATGGAACCCAACTGGGAGACTTATATTTGTCCGACACCGGCTATGCACCGAGTAAGCAAAATACTTGTCTTAATTAACATGTCGGAAATACATAAGATAAAAGAATAAGAATTATTACAAAATATTTTCAGTACTTCCTAAAAGTCAAAACTATTTTCTTTGTAAAGTAAAATTAACTTAATTCAAATTATTAAGACATTAAGATATAATTTTTAATCTGCCATAAAACAGCTTGGTGTTTTAGTTGAAAATAATTTTAACGGCAGTAAATGGTTTTAAATGGTTGTACGCCGGTAAATTATACATCATATTAATACAGTAAATTATGCATGTGTAGTTCCAGTGAACGTCGTGGAGGTTCTGAGCGACTACACATCCATCGCCATCGCCTATGGTTGCGCCCGGCCCAGCCGTAAAACTGGGTTATGTGAACAGCCCATCGTCCTGGTCAGCACCCGCACGCGTCCCAGCAGGCTGTCGTATAACGAGCGGCTGAATATTGACCGGGCGGTTAATTCTGTTTTTACGCCGTACTGCATTAGTGCCGAAGACATCCCCTTGCAGACCTTCGTTGATAGCAAGCCGGATTGCGACTTCCCTGATCCACCGGAAGAGATAGCCAAGAAAATACGCAGCCTGGCTTTGCTACGCCGGATAAAGGGAAAGCCCACATTAAAATAAATTTGTTTGAGTTTTGACGCTCTTGTTCCTTTTATTTAGTTATTTGTTTATTGTATGAAAAGTACGATCAAAAAAGTATTGGAAAATTTTTGATTTGTGTCACAGTTTCTATATTTCATAACACTCGTAATATACGTAGTACACGATGATGAACATTATTTATAATATTCGCGTACTTTTTCGTTTGTATATTATGGCTTTCTTCACTTGTATGTGCCTACATTTCTATGCTACAGAGTACTGCATATCGAAAAAACCTTGCAAAGATTTACATACGAGTGCAAACCAAAAAAAATTATCACTACTGTATATTTATATTTTGTTGTTTAAGCGCCCATAAAAATGTAGCATCCATTTTGCATTGGATGTCTCCATGAAAATGTATCCATTTCGCGATTGATACAGTTTCAGGACATAAAAATGTATCGAACGATATTTACATGGTTGTCATTAAACGTGCATAAGCGCGATGAACCCTTCGGTATTCTTCCGGAAATGCTTACTTTACTTACCGGTTTATGATTTAGTTTCGGTTCCGCTTTATCAGCGTTTCGCGGCACTTACTACATACGACAATGGTTTGTGATGAATAGTAGCAAGAAAACAAGGCGCCCACTTCCGGCAATATGCAGTACATTGTTGTGAATCATGATGGTCATCCCGAAGTAGCGATACGTTATAATATTAGTGTAAACATCAATAATTCGTAACTGCAGCGGCATTTGTTGATTCTCACACCTGTCTCTAGAATTCTGTATATAAACACCGGCGTGTTGCCTAACAGAGCGCAGTATACATAACATAAATTAACCAATTGATAAACGGAAGTCTTGTAAATTAATTAATCATTTTGTTGTACTTCCTATACAGAAGAACAATGCCTTTATCATTCGACATGTATGTCGCATCAGTGTTGCTAATCTGCGCTTTCATTTCGCAAGGTAAAGGTCACTGGCATGTAATTATATCTTTAACCTGTGCATAATTAAAGATCAAGTATCGACCGAAAGTTTGTACGGAAATTCATTGTTTTTGTATACGCTGGTGACCTTTTTTACAGCCCAAGCGTTAGTCTGCGGATTTGGCTACACAAGCTGCAACAATGTCGCCTGCTACCGACCGTCCGCCGGGGAGCAGTGTTTCACGGGCGGCTTGGTTTGCGGATTCGGTTACAGTGCGTGTGGACGCACGTGTTACCGACCATCCAACGGAGAGAGCTGCAGTGACGGGGTAGTATGTGGTTTCGGCTACCAGCGCTGTGGATCGACGTGCTACAAGCCATCCGATGGGCAGACCTGTTCCAATGGGGTCATTTGCGGGTTCGGATATCAACGGTGTGGAACGACCTGCTATAAGCCATCCAACGGCGAAACCTGCACGAACGGGATAGTGTGCGGTTTCGGCTACAGTGTGTGTGGCAATACCTGCTATAAGCCGTCAGCTGGGCAAACGTGCTATGGATAATTTATATTTCATGTCGTATATGTATACTGTATTTCATACGTATCTCTGTATTTCATGTCGTTTTCATTTTAATATGGATTTATTTGGTGAACGTTGATAACATTTCTGACTTTTTGTTATACAGTGCTTAATTTCTGCAAAATGTCACTAGAGTGAATCCGGCCACTGTGTGCGCTTTTACGGTATTGCTGTGCGTTTTTAATAAGTCCCAAAATAGTACCGTATAGACACAACAATAATTACACGGCATGTGATGTGCATTTTTAGCGCCACTTATATGGTTGCACGTAGTGCTGCAAAATAAAACGTGAAGCCTGCACTTGCCAATTCTACCGGAAATGCAGGAAAACATCGAATCCAATCACAATGCTATGACGTGCACGAGCTGGGTGCGGTTCTCGGTCTCTATTGCCTATTATTTCGAGAGGAGCTTTTTCACTTATTACAGTGTAAAGGATTACATAGCAACATGCTCTACCCTACCGGTTTACGGTCACTAGCTGGTAAAAATGAAAAAGACTTATTTTCCACCTCGATTGGCAATACACAGCGAGAGCTCACATCGAGTTCCCGGCATCACCGCCAAAGAACACTACACGATGCGGTTTTCTAATTAATCAACCATAGGGATCTTTGAAGCGTTAAATCGGCGCCTATTTCCCTTATCAAAGTCTGAAATTCCACGAATGACACACGGCCGACACGGGAATAGTCTATTAGGATAATTCCCAGTGTGCGCATTCTATTTGCACGCGATTGTTGATTTTGCTACAGATACAGCAAGACGCATTACAGTTTTATGGGCTTGCGATGGGCTGAATGCGTTGCCAATTCCCACGGCGGCGAATTATTAATGACCTTTTGAATAACTCCCAATGTCACCGTGTGGAAAGGGCAGTGATGCATTTTTTACACCGTATAATATAGAGAAGCATATATAGGGGGGAAAATGTGTCTAGCCGAACCAATCCCTTGTACTTCTGATGTAAGCCAGCTGGTGGTTTACGTTGTGGCTGCACAGCGTTTTATGTAAAGCGCTGCTATTAAGGCTACTCGTACAACTGCAGGTAAACAGGCTAAAACTGTATTATAGCCCGGATCTGCCTGGTGCAGCTAATACCACATGTACCGTCAGTGCCGCAGTGCTGCTTACCTGTTACCAGTACCTGCAATCTTATTAGCAGCGCTTTACATAAAACACTGTCAAGCCACAACGTAAACCACCAGCTGGCTTACATCAGAAGTACAAGGGATTGGTTCGGCTAGACCCATTTTTCCCCCTATATATACCATGCGTTACATAGATGCATTCGACAACGTTGGCACCAAACATTAAAAATCCCTTTCTTACTAAAACGTGCCTTTCACGGATAAAGAAAAGGTCACACAAGCATTTTTATATTACACCGCTGTTAGTACTAATTTGGCATCTGTCTGTTACCCTTACGCTCAGTATTATCTGGGCCGGGACTTGTTAACATGTTGAGAAGTTTTAATACAACACTGTACAACATCAGCATTAACTCGACCATCGCGCCACCCGCCATCGAAATCAGCGGCACCGCTGCCGTCCACCTAACAGCGTGGTTCATGGTGACCACCTTTATCGAATGTTTAACATCCGTGCTAATCATTCTGCTGATCAGCGCTATTCTGTACCGCCGCGGTCGCCCCTCACATTCCAGCCTACAGATTCTTCATATGCTCGTCCTGGAACTGATAATCGTCTCCATCATCCATCCCACTCTGTCTGTCACCGTGTATTTCCCCTCGTTAGCCCTATCTCTAGTAAACTGCCGAAATTTCTACGTTTTTTACATTATTGTCGCCGGCGCGGAACAGTGGGCTTCGTTTCTCCTATCCGTTAACCGTTGCATCGCCATCGTATTTCCGCTGCATTTCGCTAAGCTCAACAACCGATACGCCACCATCGGAGCTATTTTAACCGGATGGATAATTATGACAGCGTGGACATTACCGGTGGCGATTGATGCCGGCTGGAGGATCTCTCTAAGCGCGCCGTGGAATATCTGCACCCTGGTCCCGATGACGCCGGTTAATGGGCGCATATTCCAAGCCAATAGTTCCTTCGGAATTTATTTCCCAATATCCGGGACAATTGTTTGTTATCTGGTGGTGCTGCTGTCGCAGTTAAAGGAAAGATTCAATAAGTGCCGGGTAAATGTAGCGGCCGATGGAGCGTACGATCAGACGTTTGAACTGAAGCGCAATCGCCGGATGACCGCGGCTAAGATGTTGTTTGGGTCGTCGCTGTGGTATTTGGCATGTTACTTACCGCATATCGTCATTACCGTCTTCTACCGGCAAGTGTACGCCGACAATCCGCCTCTGCAGTTGTGGATGCGGGTGGTGTATAATTCCGGGTATATCGGGACGCCGGTAAGTATCTAGAGATTTATATTAATATTCTTAAACGCATACGAAGTATTTCTTATTGTTTCGGTTACTGTTAATCATTATTGATTTATTTGCAAATATTGATTTTTTCTTTTTGTATATATTGTGAGTTATGATTTACATATATTTAGTTTAAGGTTATAAATTGATTTTATCGAATGGTTTTATTGCAGGTTATATTTTTTTTAGTCGGAAAGGAATACCGGACTCGACTGCAGAAAGTCTGTTGTCACCTAATGCTGGCAAGAACTGCATATAGTTCGCAGAACTCCAAATCCCTGTCGCGAACCAATAATACAACAAAGAAACGATAAACCCGCAAGCCACAATCCTTTCGAGCTGACGACGACCATGAATGTGTATATCGATATCGGAAGTTTGGCACATAAAGTTGAATTGTACTTGTATAGTATCTGTTTTGGTTTATTTGCGTAAGCCTGGTTTGTACAGTAACAGAACAGTAAAAGGCCGACCACTAATTTCCCCATTTAATGGTTTTCGCGTTTACGGGTCGGTACTTTTGCTAATCTCGGTATACCATTTAAACTGTACTGTTATTTTTATAACATTAATTTAAAGTTACGGTTTGTTGTGGTTGTAGCGTAGTTGGATAAAGGGGTCCCTATTTCCTTACATTCTATTAGAACTAGGAGACAGAACCACCAGAAATACCGACTACGGGTCAGATCAGATCCTCTTTAATTCAAGACCGAAATCTAAGAAAGCCAGAGAATGACATCATCACATTAGCAGTCGACATCATCACATTATACTACTCCCGTAAAAATAAAATTAATACAGACGCTCCAGCGCATGGTGGTTGCATAAAAAAGTTAACAACCGCAAGCTGTACATCTGCCTGTAGGATGTTATTGTACATTTGAAAACGCATTTTTCTAATGTGCTGCAAGTTGCTTGCTGGAAGTTGTTTTTGTTTTTTTTTAACGACTAGCCCAATGTTTTCCTGAAGTTTTTGTACCGTCTTGCGGGGTACAGCACGGCAGCGGTGCATCTGCAAAAAATTGTCAAAATTTGACAATTTCAACTCTTAAGTTTTGTTAAAGTTTGCCCTTCAGTGAAATTAACCAGTGGCGAAGGTTCTCATCGCTGGCGCGAAGAAAACTTCCCTTAAATAAAGGTAAATCACAGCACAAACAATGACTTCCGTTCTCTCCTGACATAAATCTGATGTAAATGTATTAAATTTAATGAGGAAGTATAAATTTGTTTGGCACGTTGTGGCGTGGTTTGTATGCGTCAACATTAGGGCAACTGTACCACAGTATAATGGCCTAAAAATGCCCTGACAGCGTTTGTTATGTTGTGCTTACGCTTATTGAATGGAAATGCCTAATAGTTTGAAATTTTATTTCGACTGTTTTTACTGCATCTGATCTACTTCTGTTCGTGCCGGTCATTACTTAACATCTTACAACACCCCAAGAACTGCAGAGAGATGATTGTATCTTTTAATGTGAAACCCAGCCCGCAGATGGATTTCTCAGATGATAAGAATTCAGATGAACAAACCTGAATTTTTCCAAACGACCAGTGTAACTGTAACTACAGGTACTCTGTACATAAGAACTGATGATTCAGTAAACTTAAGCAACCTTAGCATATTGCCCGTTCAATGCAGTTTAATAAACAGGTCTTTATTTTATTCTAATGCTTTTTCAATAAGCCACTATGAATTCTTGGTTGTTATTTCTTTTTGCAGCTGCGGCTAACGGTGAGTACGAAATTAGACATATCTGTATGTCTGTACGAAATTAGACATATCCAGCCGTTTTCGCCTTTCTTTAGCGAAATGTTTCAGGATTGAAAACGACATCGACTGGTTCTGAAACAGACTGCAGTCCGCAACCGATTCCGTTACAAAATGACCAAGTAGCGCCTGGACCGCCTTTTCCATTTCGAACGGACTTTTTAACCGAAGAAGAATGCTTGGTGTATGGCAATCACCTGCAACGCAACAATCCGTTCTGGGCAACCCGACGATGTCACGACTCTTCCTTTAACCCGCGGTTTTTCACATACATTCCTGTGAAGCTTTCCGGTAGTTCCGATGCTGTCGCTGCGACTCAAAAAATTCGCGCCACAAGCCCTACCCGCGCTGTCACCGTGACCATCGACATTGGTTTGATTGGTGCAGACCACTCGGCAGAAGAGGCGCTCCATACGGACGTCTTTGAGCCCATTCGACAACAAGTGGTACAGCTGTTCCGCAAAGCCTGCAACACACCCGATGCCATACACAAGATTTACAACGTGGGCCTCTTGCCCAGCCTCATCCGACTGGAACTGAAGTTTTGCTACAATATGACCATTAAAAAGAGGGATTTCGCACATATGCCACAACTGCGAATTTTCGAAGCAATAGACTCATCGATCGCGGAAATCGAGGCGCATACCTTCACCGATCTGGTTAATCTGCGCAGTTTGATGCTAGAACGCGACATTTCTTATCATTTGTCAGCGTACACTGACAAAACCGGGCCGATGTCTTTTTACACCATCCACAACGATGCCGATGTGGAACGCGTGCGACGACTGCACTGCGACTGCTCCTACGCATGGCTGCGCAACTTCCACTGTAGGTACAAAGTGGGCCAAGTCATAAAACTTTTAAAACTTTTAAAACTTTTAAAACTTTTAAAACTTTTAAAAAAACTTTTAAAACTTTGTACCTACAGTGGAGGGTAGGTACAAAGTGGGCCAAGTTTTAAAACTTTTAAAACTCTTAAAACTTTTAAAAATAAAATTAATAATATATTGTTTTGACAGTGATTTTTCAAAAAGGGGTTTTAAAGTTTTAGCAGTTTTTAAAAATAAAATTAATAATATATAGTTTTGACAGTGATTTTTCAAAAAGCGGTTTTAAGGTTTTAGCAGTTTTTAAAAATAAAATGAATAATATATAGTTTTGACAGTGATTTTTCAAAAAGCGGTTTTAAGGTTTTAGCAGTTTTTAATATAAAATTAATAACATATAGTTTTGACAGTGATTTTTCAAAAAGCGGTTTTAAGGTTTTAGCAGTTTTTAATATAAAATTAATAACATATAGTTTTGACAGTGATTTTTCGAAAAGTGGTTTTAAGGTTTTAGCAGTTTTTAATATAAAATTAATAACATATAGTTTTGACAGTGATTTTTCAAAAAGCGGTTTTAAGGTTTTAGCAGTTTTTAAAAATAAAATGAATAATATATAGTTTTGACAGTGATTTTTCAAAAAGCGGTTTTAAGGTTTTAGCAGTTTTTAAAAATAAAATTAATAATATATAGTTTTGACAGTGATTTTTCGAAAAGTGGTTTTAAGGTTTTAGCAGTTTTTAAAAATAAAATTAATAATATATAGTTTTGACAGTGATTTTTCGAAAAGTGGTTTTAAGGTTTTAGCAGTTTTTAATATAAAATCAATAATATATAGTTTTGACAGTGATTTTTCAAAAAGCGGTTTTAAGGTTTTAGCAGTTTTTAAAAATAAAATTAATAATATATAGTTTTGACAGTGATTTTTCGAAAAGTGGTTTTAAGGTTTTAGCAGTTTTTAAAAATAAAATTAGTGATATATAGTTTTGACACTGATTTTTCGAAAAGTGGTTTTAAGGTTTTAGCAGTTTTTAATTAAAAAATTAATAATATATAGTTTTGACAGTGATTTTTCCAAAAGCGGTTTTAAGGTTTTAGCAGTTTTTAATATAAAATCAATAATATATAGTTTTGACAGTGATTTTTCAAAAAGCGGTTTTAAGGTTTTAGCAGTTTTTAAAAATAAAATTAATAATATATAGTTTTGACAGTGATTTTTCGAAAAGTGGTTTTAAGGTTTTAGCAGTTTTTAAAAATAAAATTAATGATATATAGTTTTGACAGTGATTTTTCAAAAAGCGGTTTTAAGGTTTTAGCAGTTTTTAAAAATAAAATTAATAATATATAGTTTTGACAGCGATTTTTCAAAAAGTGGTTTTAAGGTTTTAGCAGTTTTTAATATAAAATTAATAATATATAGGTTTGACAGTGATTTTTCAAAAAGCGGTTTTAAGGTTTTAGCAGTTTTTAATATAAAATTAATAACATATAGTTTTGACAGTGATTTCTCAAAAAGCGGTTTTAAGGTTTTAGCAGTTTTTAATATAAAATTAATAACATATAGTTTTGACAGTGATTTTTCGAAAAGTGGTTTTAAGGTTTTAGCAGTTTTAATATAAAATTAATAACATATAGTTTTGACAGTGATTTTTCAAAAGCGGTTTTAAGGTTTTAGCAGTTTTAAAAATAAAATGAATAATATATAGTTTTGACAGTGATTTTTCAAAAAGCGGTTTTAAGGTTTTAGCAGTTTTTAAAAATAAAATTAATAATATATAGTTTTGACAGTGATTTTTCGAAAAGTGGTTTTAAGGTTTTAGCAGTTTTTAAAAATAAAATTAATGATATATAGTTTTGACACTGATTTTTCGAAAAGTGGTTTTAAGGTTTTAGCAGTTTTTAATTAAAAAATTAATAATATATAGTTTTGACAGTGATTTTTCCAAAAGCGGTTTTAAGGTTTTAGCAGTTTTTAATATAAAATCAATAATATATAGTTTTGACAGTGATTTTTCAAAAAGCGGTTTTAAGGTTTTAGCAGTTTTTAAAAATAAAATTAATAATATATAGTTTTGACAGTGATTTTTTCGAAAAGTGGTTTTAAGGTTTTAGCAGTTTTTAAAAATAAAATTAATGATATATAGTTTTGACAGTGATTTTTCAAAAAGCGGTTTTAAGGTTTTAGCAGTTTTTAATATAAAATTAATAATATATAGTTTTGACAGTGATTTTTCAAAAAGCGGTTTTAAGGTTTTAGCAGTTTTTAAAAATAAAATTAATAATATACAGTTTTGACAGTGATTTTTCAAAAAGCGGTTTTACGGTTTTAGCAGTTTTTAAAAATAAAATTAATAATATATAGTTTTGACAGTGATTTTTCAAAAAGCGGTTTTAAGGTTTTAGCAGTTTTTAAAAATAAAATTAATAATATACAGTTTTGACAGTGATTTTTCAAAAAGCGGTTTTACGGCTTTAGCAGTTTTTAAAAATAAAATTAATGATATATAGTTTTGACAGTGATTTTTCAAAAAGCGGTTTTAAGGTTTTAGCAGTTTTTAATATAAAATTAATAATATATAGTTTTGACAGTGATTTTTCAAAAAGCGGTTTTAAGGTTTTAGCAGTTTTTAAAAATAAAATTAATAATATATAGTTTTGACAGTGATTTTTCGAAAAGTGGTTTTAAGGTTTTAGCAGTTTTTAAAAATAAAATTAATGATATATAGTTTTGACAGTGATTTTTCAAAAAGCGGTTTTAAGGTTTTAGCAGTTTTTAATATAAAATTAATAATATATAGTTTTGACAGTGATTTTTCAAAAAGCGGTTTTAAGGTTTTAGCAGTTTTTAAAAATAAAATTAATAATATACAGTTTTGACAGTGATTTTTCAAAAAGCGGTTTTACGGTTCTAGCAGTTTTTAAAAATAAAATGAATAATATATAGTTTTGACAGTGATTTTTCAAAAAGCGGTTTTAAGGTTTTAGCAGTTTTTAAAAATAAAATTAATAATATACAGTTTTGACAGTGATTTTTCAAAAAGCGGTTTTACGGCTTTAGCAGTTTTTAAAAATAAAATTAATGATATATAGTTTTGACAGTGATTTTTCAAAAAGCGGTTTTAAGGTTTTAGCAGTTTTTAATATAAAATTAATAATATATAGTTTTGACAGTGATTTTTCAAAAAGCGGTTTTAAGGTTTTAGCAGTTTTTAAAAATAAAATTAATAATATACAGTTTTGACAGTGATTTTTCAAAAAGCGGTTTTACGGCTTTAGCAGTTTTTAAAAATAAAATTAATAATATATAGTTTTGACAGTGATTTTTCGAAAAGTGGTTTTAAGGTTTTAGCAGTTTTTAAAAATAAAATTAATGATATATAGTTTTGACAGTGATTTTTCAAAAAGCGGTTTTAAGGTTTTAGCAGTTTTTAATATAAAATTAATAATATATAGTTTTGACAGTGATTTTTCAAAAAGCGGTTTTAAGGTTTTAGCAGTTTTTAAAAATAAAATTAATAATATACAGTTTTGACAGTGATTTTTCAAAAAGCGGTTTTACGGCTTTAGCAGTTTTTAAAAATAAAATTAATAATATATAGTTTTAACAGTGATTTTTCGAAAAGTGGTTTTAAGGTTTTAGCAGTTTTTAATATAAAAATTAATAATATATAGTTTTGACAGTGATTTTTCGAAAAGTGGTTTTAAGGTTTTAGCAGTTTTTAAGAATAAAATTAATAATATATAGTTTTGACAGTGATTTTTCGGAAAGTGGTTTTAAGGTTTCAACAGTTTTTAAAAATAAGATTATTAATAGGAAATGGCTATTGGCACCCCCTTTCACCCCCGTTATCTATAGGCATCCCCTTTTGCACCCCGCACACTAAGGGCACCTTTTTTTGATTAATCAATCTCTGCACCCCGTTGCGTGCGAAAGCTGTAGACACACACCCCTATATTGTCTGTCCGTTAATGCTATGTTTAAAATTTGAATTTTCTTGACCTTAGGATGCCGAAAGTTGCACTCCCAGCTCCAGAATTTTTTTCTCTGGTAATATAATTATGTGAGTTCTGCAACAAAAACTGCTCTGAATAATAACGTCTGGCAGCTCTGAAATAAGTAGCGCATCCGAAGATAATCCACGATCTGACAGTGACCGGGTCTACCCAGATGCTATCCAAGAAAGAGACTATAAGGAAAGTTACTCGACCTTTTCCGCATCGAATCTGCCTTAAAGCAGTGTCAAACTGTCAAAGAGATACGCTCCAAACATTCGTAGTCAGACGATCTGAAAGCGGCCCACTGTCGGATGGAGTGCCTAGTACACCTCTTTATGTAAATACCTGACCAAATTATATCAGGTCGTCAAAACATTTTTGCGAACCAAAAATACTTTCAAAAAAATCATAGTCAGCGCTCTGGAAAAAAACTAAAAATTGGTGCCTCACTACCTATAGTCCGCGGAAAGAACGGGGAGTGAGAATTATCTAACAGAAAAGGGTGCCTGTAGTAAAACAGGGTGCAAAACGGGGTGCCTTTAGCAAACGGGGTGAAACGGTGCCTATAGTCTCACCTTTATTAATATATACATGTAGGTTTGACAATGATTTTTCAAAAAGCGGTTTTAAGATTTTGGCAGGTTTTAATAATAGAATTATTAATATATAGTTTTGAAAAGCGATTTTTAACTACGTATAGGTTTTACCGTTCTAGTAATATTTACTAATATTTTTACATGATGATGAATTTTCCTTGTACATTTAGCTTATACACAACAGTTAACATCACAACGCAGTACACTCAATCAGCAGAAAACAGCCTCGGGAGGTCTAAGAACAGAGAACAACTGATCTAAATTTGCTCCCGGTGGAGCTGTTCCCTGAACGGAGGCCGCGTTCCCGCGCTGGATTTCTATGCTGATACGCTGGCGCAGGTATTCCGATGCTCTTGCCTCGCCTGTTTCTTGCCGTACCTTTCTACCCACTTCCGTCAGCAGACGTGAAGCTTCCGGTCCGTTTGGTCCTAGCGTTTCAAAGCCCAAAGCGCTGAACAGGTAGTCCGGGGTGATGTTCTGGTACTTGGTTACCTTATCCTGTTCAGCCTTTGCCGCCGCTGCTCCAGCTCGCTCGGATGTTGCCACGATATGCGATAATGCTATTTACTAATATTATAAAATAGTCCGTACATTCGTATAAGTGGCCGTGTCTGGCCAAGAAGCGAAAAAGCTTACTCCGCACATCTGATTCGCGTGAAATTCGATAGCAGATATTTTGATATCGATTGCAAATCATTCCCTCGAAACCTTAAATAATTCAAACCTGGTATTGAAATGGCAACTACCTAGCTCCCGCTCACCAGTTAAACTTACAGTTAGTTGCAGCCTGCTGCATCATGAAAATAAAACCGCAACTAGAGTTTTTCTAGACTACTTAAATTTTAATTTCTTACGGAGTAGGCAGTTGTATTTAAACAAAATTTTCTTATACTCATATTCGAACATTATAATTTGATTTAAATTAAGTCGGCCATTGAAGTTCACTATGTTAGCAAACAGTGCTAAACACAAAATTACAACCATATTTTAGTACTTACTTCCTTACAGTGCTTACGATTATTACTTAACGTTTCAGATCGCAGAAATTGCTAGTATTTTCTAGGTTACAGTATATAGTATGAATGCTGTACCGGAGCTAGCGTTGCCGGAACCGGCTCGGTGGCACCGGTAACTAAATTTTTTGAAGAAATAAAATACAGCTAACTGCAATAGCAGTTGATTTTAATTTTCATGAGCAACTCGAAATTGGGCTGTTGTTGTTTCTTTCCACAAAATCACAAACTGACCATGAGCTATCAACACTGTCCACTGAGCAAACTGCAAACTCGTATACTGGATGACATTAGTGAACAGGTGTACGAGTACTTGCTTTGCTTTAGCCTTTAGGATAGCATTGTGTTATCGAGTCAACTTGGCACCTTTTGATACAGTGAGTTATACCTACTTATACGTTAAGCGGATAAGACTCATTGTAAAAATGGTGCCAAGTTGACCCGACAACACAGTATGCCATTGTAATACCTTTTCTTTTGAGACATATTGTACGAGTAGTTCTAACTCGGACTGTTGAATAACTGGCATGCACTCGGAGTTCAGCATATTTAGAATGCTTGATGAAAAACGAGAATGCATATGGAAAACATTATTCATAAAAAAATTTTCTTTATTCCTCATTTTGTAAAATAAAAACTAAAAACTGCGGAAAGCAGATGCGAAGCCATACTTTTGACGAAATGCACTCCAGCAAGTTTTCGATAAGGTATCGGAGCAAAATCAAACAACCAATAAACTTACACTACTTCTATAGAATATTTCACCTTATGGTTAGAAACGAACCTTCAAATGTTGCACAAATCTGCCGACAAAGAAAGCCGGGAGCTGTGTGCTGACCTGTGAGCCAGACTGATTTTCCGCATTAATGTCAAAAACAACAAGTATATATATTAATAGTCTCATTAATAAAAATTGTTAGAACCTCAAACCTCTTATCGAAAAATCACAGTCAAGTTATGCATTTATTATTAGAAACTGTTATTATTATTAAAAATTATATTAACATTTATTATTAAAAACCTTTAAACCAATGTCTAATAAATATCTGTCAAAACCGAATATCATTAATTTTTTATTAAAAACTGCTAAAACATTAAAACCGCTTTTTGAAAAATCACTGTCAAAACTATATATTATTCATTTTATATTAGAAACTGCTAAAACCTTAAAACCGCTTTTTGAAAAATCACTGTCAAAACTATATATTATTAATTTTATATTAAAAACTGCTAAAACCTTATAACCGCTTTTTGAAAAATCACTGTCAAAACTATGTATTATTAATTTCATTTTTTTAAAAACTGCTAAAACCTTAAAACCACTTTTCGAAAAATCACTGCCAAAACTATATTTTATTAATTTTGTTTTTAAAAACTGCTAAAACCTTAAAACCGATTTTTTGAAACATCACTGACAAAACTATATATTATTAATTTTATTTTTAAAAACTCCCAAAACCTTAAAACCGCTTTTTGAAAAATCGCTGTCAAAACCATGTATTATTAATTTTATTTTTTTAAAAACTGCTAAAACCTTAAAACCGCTTTTTGAAACATCACTGTCAAAACTATATATTATTAATTTTATTTTTAAAAACTGCTAAAACCTTAAAACCACTTTTCGAAAAATCACTGTCAAAACTATATATTATTAATTTTATTTTTAAAAACTGCTAAAACATTAAATGCGCGTTTTGAAAAATCACTGTCAAAACTATATATTATTCATTTTATATTAGAAACTGCTAAAACCTTAAAACCGCTTTTTGAAAAATCACTGTCAAAACTATATATTATTAATTTTATATTAAAAACTGCTAAAACCTTATAACCAATTTTCGAAAAATCACTGTCAAAACTATATATTATTAACTTTATTTTTAAAAACTCCTAAAACCTTAAAACCGCTTTTTGAAAAATCACTGTCAAAACTATGAATTATTAATTTTATTTTTTTAAAAACTGCTAAAACCTTAAAACCACTATTCGAAAAATCACTGCCAAAACAATATTTTATTAATTTTGTTTTTAAAAACTGCTAAAACCTTAAAACCGGTTTTTGAAACATCACTCTCAAAACTATATATTATTAATTTTATTTTTAAAAACTGCTAAAACCTTAAAACCACTTTTCGAAAAATCGCTGTCAAAACTATATATTATTAATTTTATTTTTAAAAACTGCTAAAACCTTAAAACCGCTTTTTGAAAAATCACTGTCAAAACTATATATTATTCATTTTATATTAAAAACTGCTAAAACCTTAAAACCACTTTTCGAAAAATCACTGTCAAAACTATATGTTATTAATTTTATATTAAAAACTGCTACAACCTTAAAACCGCTTTTTGAAAAATCACTGTCAAAACTATATGTTATTAATTTTATATTAAAAACTGCTAAAACCTTAAAACCACTTTTCGAAAAATCACTGTCAAAACTATATATTATTAATTTTATTTTTAAAAACTGCTAAAACCTTAAAACCACTTTTCGGAAAATCACTGTCAAAACTATATATTATTAATTTTATTTTTAAAAACTGCTAAAACCTTAAAACCACTTTTCGAAAAATCACTGTCAAAACTATATATTATTAATTTTATTTTTAAAAACTGCTAAAACCTTAAAACCACTTTTCGAAAAATCACTGTCAAAACTATATATTATTAATTTTATTTTTAAAAACTGCTAAAACCTTAAAACCGCTTTTTGAAAAATCACTGTCAAAACTATATATTATTCATTTTATTTTTAAAAACTGCTAAAACCTTAAAACCGCTTTTGAAAAATCACTGTCAAAACTATATGTTATTAATTTTATATTAAAAACTGCTAAAACCTTAAAACCACTTTTCGAAAAAATCACTGTCAAAACTATGTTATTAATTTTATATTAAAACTGCTAAAACCTTAAAACCGCTTTTGAAAAATCACTGTCAAAACTATATATTATTAATTTTATATTAAAACTGCTAAAACCTTAAAACCGCTTTTGAAAAATCACTGTCAAAACTATATATCATTAATTTTATTTTTAAAACTGCTAAAACCTTAAAACCACTTTTCGAAAAATCACTGTCAAAACTATATATTATTAATTTTATTTTTAAAAACTGCTAAAACCTTAAAACCGCTTTTTGAAAAATCACTGTCAAAACTATATATTATTGATTTTATATTAAAAACTGCTAAAACCTTAAAACCGCTTTTGGAAAAATCACTGTCAAAACTATATATTATTAATTTTTTAATTAAAAACTGCTAAAACCTTAAAACCACTTTTCGAAAAATCAGTGTCAAAACTATATATTATTAATTTTATTTTTAAAAGTTTTAAAAGTTTTAAAAGTTTTAAAAGTTTTAAAAGTTTTAAAAGTTTTAAAAGTTTTAAAAGTTTTAAAAGTTTTAAAAGTTTTAAAAGTTTTTTTAAAAGTTTTAAAAGTTTTAAAAGTTTTAAAAGTTTTAAAAGTTTTATGACTTGGCCCACTTTGTACCTACAGTGGAAGTTGCGCAAAACCTAAGAAACCTAAGAAACTTCCTCAAAAGAAAGCCGTATCTTCTCAAAGGCCGAAGCGAAGGCGAGGTGGCCATTATTGGGAACTTTCTCACCAGTGGGTTTGGTGTGGCCGGAGAGTTTCGTCACTACCTGAATGTGGACTGCTCTCGGCCGTTAACATTTGCGAATCTTCCCAAAGTGCCTGTCGGCACCGATGCACCGTTCGCTTACAACACGCAGTGTTTTGACTTATCTTGTTAACTGCTTCCGCATGCAATAATATTGTCTATACTTCCGTACGCAATTACAATGTTCTATGCTTATTGCTCGGATTGTTGGAACACGTTTCACACCATTTGGATGTAATAAACAGTATTTTAGAATTTCCACTTGTTATCAGAGGACACTCTATAAGCGCAGATGATCCCTATAAGCCTGGTCGCACCGTTTATTACTTAATATTCTGCAACACACCACGTATAATTTTGGAGCCAAGAAAACTGAAAATGATTGTACCTCTCCGGATCTCCGGACACAGTATCTTCAGCTGGATTTTCTCATGTGATAACGAGCTTGCTTAAGACTTTCCACATCTCCAAAATTCGCGTAACTACAAGTATTTACAAAGATGCATTTGTTTATACGGCAGGGGATAAAAGGTGGCAGTGGCACCTGCCACTGGCAAATGCCACCGGCAATGGCAGTTGCCACTTTGCATTCTGGCAAGCGATAAAACGTGGCAACCGCCGGAATCTTGCAGTGAGATGGTTCTGCCAATAAAAAGTTCAGAAGGAAGTAAGCCGCCTCCATACAACCGATTTCTCGCCATTTGAGCTTGAGAGTAGTGCATACTGCGTGGCTTCATGTGCTTGAGGCAGTCCGCTATTGTGCACTGGAGCAAAAAAGCACTTAGCAAAAGACACTACGACTTCGTTAGCTTATCGTATAGTTTCTTAAACAGTGCAAAACTGCAAGCCATAATTATACGATTCCTGTAGATCACCCTTGTTTCACAGCCTCCTTCTGGGATACCACCTTGAGGGAGACCGATTTAGGGAATGAGACCATTGGTCATTCTTAGTTATTAAACTTTTCTTGAATTTTCTTGAGTTTTTTTAGGCTGTTCTTACGGCACCCTATGATTTCGGCAACCATTCATTTCGGCCACCATTCATTTCGGCTACCATTCCACCGCGTTCGAATTTTAGCTTAATTGTAGTCTATTGTAAAACCTAAGAAACCTATGAAACTTAAGAATAACCAAAGAAACCTAAGAATAACCAAAGAGACCTAAGAAAATCTAACAAACCTAAGAATAACCTAAGAAAACTAACAATAACCTAAGAAAATCTAAGAAACCTCAGAATAACCTAAGAAACCTAAGAAAACCTAAGAAACCTAAGAATAACCTAAGAAACTTAAGAAAACCTAAGAAAATCGAATGCGGTACCCGGATGAATGGTAGCCGAAATGAATGGTGGCTGAAATGAATGGTGGCCGAAATGAATGGACACGGTTCTTAACTTCTTACCATCAGGTTTTCTTAGATTTATTCTGAGGTTTTTTCTTGGTTTTCTTAAGTTTCGGATAATTTCTCAAGAAAACCTAAGACATAAACCAAAAATCAGCATTAGAAATCCTAAGAAAACCTAAGGGAATTAATAAAACTAAGAAATTTAAAAAAAAATAAAAAAAGCTATGAAAACTAAGAAACCAAATAAAACTAGGAAATCTAAGAAAATTGTATGGCTACAGTACAACCAATGCAATCACTACCAGTCCCATTACCACCGCCAGGACCACTATGCTTACAATTACGTACCAGCACCAGTGCCACCACCATCACCATTACCGCAGCCACTTCCTTAACCAGTATCAATAACTAGAATTACCGGCGACTTTTTCTGAATTTTGTAGCTGTTTTCTATAGAGATTGTCGTTGGAACCATGTCATTTCAAGATTCCGGCAGTTGCCACGTTTTATCGCCTGCCAGAACGCGTACTGGCAACTGCCACTGCCGGTGGCAATTGCCAGTGGCAGGTGCCACTGCCACCTTTTATCCCCTGCCTGTTTATACAGCTATGGGGTACACAAGCGTACCTGTCCGCAAATGACAACTCAAAATAATTTAACGCAAAAATTACTGTACAGTTTTTTTTTTAAAAAACTGCTCAGTCCAGTAATTTACTATGATTTCCCTTGTACTGCTTGTTTTTGTATTTCCTGCAACGTCTTGTGGTGAGTAAAAAGTACGCTAACAAACAGCTGTCTTGTCCGAGCTTCATCAGTGGTATTTCTAGGATTGCCGACTACAAATATGAACCTGGAGACAGACCGCAGCCCGTAGCCACTTCCGTTCCCAATTGTACAATCAGCGAATACGATGTTCTATCCGTTCCGAACCGACTTCTTAATAGAGGTAGAATGTCTGGCTTATGCCAACCAAACGACACCTAGCAGCAATCCGTTCTGGGCGCCGAAGCGGTGCCAAGGTATCCTCTATAACCCACGGGATCATACGTATCTTACTGTACGTATGATCCCGTGGGTGATACGTTTCTGCTGGTACAAATCAACAGTGTTGGCCGCTTGCCGAGCCTCATCCGACTGGAACCGCGCTATTGCTACAACATGGCGATTAAGAAGAGAGATTCTGCATGGATTTCGCAGTTGCGAGTTTTCGAGGCGATTGATTCGTCGATTGCGGAAATCGAGCCGCATACTTTCACCGATCTGGTTAACCTGGGTAGCTTGATGCTAGAACAGGGTGTTTTGTTCCATTTATACGTTCAGAGCAAAAACCAAACGGTGAGCTGGTCTGGCCTTCGCAATGACGCCGACGTACAACGCCTTCGGCGACTGCACTGTGACTGCTCCTACGCATGGCTACGGAACTTCCTCAAAAGAAAACCGCAACTACTGCAGAAGAGACGCTACGGCGAAGTGGCTATCATTGAAAGTTATCTTGCCAGCAGTATTGGGTTTGACATGGTTGATTTTCAACATTTCTTGAGCGTTGATTGTTCTCTACCGTTAACATTTGAAAATGTGCCTGAAGTGCCACGCGGTATCCTGGAACCCTTTGCTCACAACACAAACTGTTATAATTTGACTTGTTAACTCCTTTCCAAGTTATGTACGTATATGCATGCGGACGCAACGTAGCGTTAAAGGTTGCTTGCGTAAATAGTTTAACTTTATTTCGACGGCGCTATTGGAACAAATTTGTGAAAGCGTAAGCATCTTCAGTCTCGATCCTGCAGTTACTCTACACTCGACAGCAGAGATAAGAATCGAACTGCAAGAAATTTTGAATAAGTCCAATGAAGTGTTTAATGGTTACCGCACTAGCCGCCTAAGTTACGGTATTACTCATCAAAGGTTAGATTTAACTTTTCTATAAAGTTTGGCAAGTGTCTTTTTCTCGAGCAACATACTTTATTTTTAGATGTATTAAAATCTTTCGATATTGCGTTCGCGATCATAAGAGTGCATAAAAAGCCAGCACCGTTTAATCAGAATTTAATAAGATGATGGCTGAGAAAGAAGTTTCAGTGAGTACTCGTTACCATGCAATCAGCAATGTACTGTGTATGTAGTTTTCGTCCTTGCCATTCGGTCACTTTAGAAGTATAAAAATTTAGGTACGCAGTAACCAAAGAACTGAAATGATGTTGCGGCTTGTTGCCATAATGAAGACTATTATGGTTCTAGGCAGGCTGTTTCCTCCGCAGAAAGCCTCGTTTACAAACATTATAACCTGCAACAGTAAATCTGAATTACATAATCATATGGAAGGATTTTATTTGAAATTATTTCCTGTTGATCCGAGATGATTACCGAAAGGCATTGATGGCACAGGCGACATCACAGATGGCATTAACCAACGGCGCTAGCAGCAACATTACCAAGGAGAGGGCACTGATAATGGCGAAGATTCCACTGACGACGTTTCTGCGTAGAAATTCACCGATCATCCCGAATTCCCATGCCGTTATGGACATCAAATAGCAGACAAATCCAAGCTGTAGCAAACGAACAATGTTACTGTACATGGGTATCACGACGGCGGTACTAAAGAGACTGCACTATTTAGTACTGCCATAGTACTGATTATATATATATTGCTATGTATTTAGGACATCATATTCTTTTTGTTTCTTAAAGCGTAAAAAAATGTATTCTGTTTTCGTGACAGTCGTCCTCATGCAAGAATCTGCACACTTATGTAGCGAGAAAAAAGGCTAAAAACGGTTTCTAAATGAAGGCTGCAGAAACCGGTTATCAGTGTGCGCCCGAAGTGGGCGTCGGCTTCACCCAGTCACCAAAGGAAATTTGGTCCTTTGGTCTATTAGTAGACCTAGAGCGGCGGTTCGACGGAAACAGAATTATGCTTTAAATCAAACTATCAGTTCTGTGCAGTAAATTTTTACGTTTTTGCACATACCGTTGCCAGGTTGATAAGAGCGCTAAGAATGGAGAAACCGCCATACGCCACCGCCACGTTACGCTGCCGTCCCTTCCAGTTGGCGCCGGGACGGGGTGCTACCACCCCCTGACCGAATCCCGCCACAATCATGGACAATATACCCGCAATCACAGCAAAGGCTTTAATGAAGTCCCCCGCCATGTACAGCGGGAGGGTGCTGGAGAAGGCATCGAAGGCGATATACAGCAGACCAAAGTTGAGGGTAACTTGACCGGCATACCACTGCGCGGTGCTCCAGTGGCTCAGACGGCGATCCTCCATATTAACGGAATGCGATTTAACGTACTCCATGGTGGCAGGACGGAAAGGGTGAAACGAACAGTGAAGTAATTCAGTCCGCTTTTCAGCTACAGAGGTTTCTCATCAGGTGCTTGTTATCGATACCGGAATCGATACTATTGATTTAAAGAATGTGTCATGGAATTGTTTCGTCCCGATAACCAAAACAATATTTTACGACCGATAAGAATTTTGCAGTGTGTATTTGATTTCAATGAATCATGACTGATAAAGCATACAAAGATCAATAAAATACGCGTTATGATATCAGTAGGCGCTACGTTATCGCAGGTTGGTGTTTGACAAGTATTGTACAGTGAGACATTACTGTCGCTGCTAGAATGCGATTAAGAAATTAAATGCGCTTAATCACGAGACTGCACACTGCCACTTTCTAGCATTTGCGAACATGGCGGTTAATGCAGGCTACGATCGCTATCCATCCGTTGCTGACGACCACAAATTCGCCCCACAGCCAACGGGTTATTCCTTTTCTGAAACCGTGGGCGGCCGACAGGATCCCACCTTCGTCAGAATGACCACCTACAAGACTAATGCGCCCTACATGGCAGCGGGGACCACCAATGCCTTCGCGTACCAGCGGACACCGTTGACGCGCTGCCGGGATTGGCTGAGCACGTCCATCTTATCCATCGTCAACGGGGGACTGTTGATCGTCTTCTACGGGATCACCATTGGACTGTATGCGACCAACGATTTCAATGGGTTATTTTTGGCACCGTTGTACGGAGCGGGAATTTGGGGCGGAGGGATCGGGATTGTCTGCGGTATTGTTTCGCTGATTGCACAGCAGAAGGTATGTATGTGTTGTGGTATGCAATACTATGTATTTTAATTGACACAACGCTGGAAAGCCTGGACAGTTATGCCAACAAAACATAGGGCCAGCGGCAAAAGGGCTCGTGGCTGCACTGATTTGATACACCGAACGTAAACGGCAAAACCGTCCCGGCTGCAGAAAACCGCACCCCGGCAAAAGCGTCCGGGTAGAATTTTGCATCTGGGAATTTCACCTCATTGAAGAGCGCAGAAAAATTGAAAGTGGGCAAATTATACGGCGGATGAGTTTTTGGGCCCGGCGGACAGTTTGCAGATTTAATGTCACATGGGGTGGGGTGTTCAATTCATTCCAGACGGTTTTGCCGGTTATGACGGTGCCCCTTAGCACAGAAGCCAAATTATTCATATTACCAAGACTGATTAAATTAGCTTTACTGTGATCACCGTACTGATAGCGAGTGATTCAGCGTTGTTTTGTAAGAGTTTTGGAAGGGTTCTCTAATCTCTATTTCGGGGTGGGCTTCGAAATCGAGAGGCGCAGGTCACTATCAATAAAATACGGCATGCTAATTTTTAACAAGATGACTAAATTTTCGGCACTGATGATAAATACGGGACAGTAATACCTTAATTGTCTTAACGATGTTAATGACGTTGCAGGCTAAACGGATCGGGCCTATGAACAGCGCGTGGGGATTCGCTGGCGTAGCTTTCCTGCAGATGTTAGGTGCACTAGCCTCTACCGGAGCAGCCATCCTGGTAACTCTTTACGTTTGGAGAGCCTTTGTCGTCTATCCCCTGGTTAGTATGGCTGCCTCCTTTTCGACATTCGGTTCAACATTCGTTTTGCCTTATGGACCATTTATTCTGGGCGTGTTCACCTTTGTGTTCGCCTGGGGTCCACCGGGAACCCTCATCTACAATTTCCGTCATTCGACTACGGCGGCCATAGACGTGATGTCCCTTTAAGTGCTGGTTCCACTTCTGCCAGGGTGTTTGTCTTACAGTTACAGATACATACTGTATTGTTCATAGACAAATGGGGTCATGCGTCATATATACTTTGATTCGAGAAATGGAAAGTTTTAGGAATCAGCGGCACTAGCCGACTGTTTGAAATAATGGCTTTAATGTCGTAATATTGCCGATCAACATGAGTTTTTAATGCGAATCCAAACCAGCAATAAAACTTTTCGATTAGCAAGGCTGGAATGCTTATAGGATCGGCGAACAGCGACTGTTGTGCGGTGTACTGCTGCTTCGTATAATAAGTTGGGATCGAGAACCCAAGAACCAAAATGTCGTACAACTGTACGTTTATCGCGTCAACGAATGAGAAATATGTAACTACAAATATTTGCATCATATTAATGCACTGTGCAAACAACCGTTACTGTAGCTACAAGTGTTTGCTGCAGATGAAAATTGTCTCTGGGCTTCCACACCTATCGAAACCCACGAAATTACCATTATACGAAAGTTCGCTCGTTAATAAAATATTTTATTTCTTAGCTGCCTTTCAAATCTACATACTTCTACCGGTAACAACGGTGTCAAGCGCAGGTTAAACTTTAAACCATTAAAATAACAGTTCAGGAACTAAACGTTTGTTAAGCGGCAAACTGCAACAATAAGCCGGATTAAGCTGACAAGATGGATCGTATGATCCTGTGTAATTCCATGATGATAAACAGTTGTGTGCGTTTCTACCGCTTTTCCGTCATCAGGCCATGTGCCTGTTGCGCAGCATGCGATTTGGCTCTCTGGGCGTCGACCCAATCCAGTCCGTGGGTTTCAATTAGGCGGTCCACTGCGGCTGCGGCCAATGCCGCTAGCGTGTCTTTTATTAAGGAGTGATCAACCGAACCACCGGTTCCGTGATGGTTCTCATAGGCCCGCATAGCTTCGCATCCGGCCGCGGCGGCGATCAGCTCGTGCGTCCATGAGGCTTTGTGATGAGGCGCCGCATGGCCGAACACTTTCCCATGGGCTTCCTGAGCTTGAGAAGGCGTGAATAAATCCGTGAACCACGTCTATATAGAAATACCATATGAAAGTCATTGACAAATTAGGGATAGCGTCGACATCATCGTCATGTTAATCTTAAACGTATAGTATACTGGTACTCACATTGACTTTCTTAACTCACTATACAGCACAGACCGTGACATGGAAGAGCACTAGCGAGTTCCACAGTCCACTTACCATGTTTAGTAGCACTGTAATCGATGATCGGACTTCAACGAGTGAAATTTGGAAAGCAGAACTCGAAGCACAGCTTACTAAAAATTGGATTTTGTTATAACGTACAACCTCGAAACGGTATCACGGATGCTTTCGAAACTGCTTTTAATATACACCTTCCGTCTTACGTTGGTGAATAAGCGACCAACCTCATACAATTTACAATGAGACCAGCCCACCGTGAGATTATGATCGACTTAAATCCATGCATGTGCACAAGCTTGCTCATAAATTGTAATAAATCTTTCAGTTCAACCTGTTGATTCATCCAAACTAATGCACGTTCCTTGCTATTAATCAAGCTACCTAAATGCACTTGTCTAATGGATATTAGCCATCTATTATTAACCATCACTGTACTTACGTGCAGTGATGGGATCATCGGTGTTTTAGACTGCCTGTGCAAGAGAGTGAATCACAATGTGGGACCGGGATTGTCCAAACTGATAATTAGCTTCTACAACAGTCATTCTTGTACACAAGTACGAGACGTACAATCCTGTCCCACAATTTTAAGGCCGTTTTTTCGTTTTACTGCGGTCTACCTAAAATTTAAGCTAACCATAACCACTGCCGTTCGCGATATATGCTGTAAGAAGCGGCGGGGCTGTAGATGTAACACCACGATAAAGCATAGCTTTTAATAATATGTATTTTATTCAGCGATCCTTTATTTAAAGATAATCTTTCGATGCCGCAGCTTCTTGTAAGAGTGTTTGATAAAAACAAATAACAAAAACTAAAAGATCTTTAAGCAGCAACGTTTAGAGTAAAATACATACTTCAGTATTGATATCACAGCATGACTCGAACGCGGCTCAATCATAATATTTATAAAATAATTCAGGAAGTCGCTTTATACATTGTTCCTCGGTACTCGCGTCGCAGGAAGCAACAAAGAAAATAACTGCTTCCAGAACCCGGGAGAGGTATAGAAAGCAAGTGAAGTTTTGCTGTATTGGATTAGCCGGATAGCCAGAACAGCTGTCGCTGCGAATAATCCATGAGCCAGAAAACTCAGCAGAAGCTCACGCGCCTGTTTAGGCAGCGGGTGGTGTCAGCGATCTCTTCCTAAAACTATCAATCGTCATGCCGTGGAAACCCACTTCGTTTGCTGGATAATCGCTGAGAAACAAGGTGAACCTGTAAAAACGTCACATTATAAGCTATCAAGCTCGCAAAGAATGGCTGAACCTTATAACGTCGGAACCGTAACCTTTCGTAACCCATAACTTTCCCAATAAACAAACCAGAAGTTTGTTATTCGCTATCAGAAATACAGTAGGTCTTCTTACCGCGCGTCCTCTATTCCCAGCTTTTCATGGATGAATTCGGAGGGAACTTCGACGTAAACGTCGTTATTCTTTCCAGCAAAATTTCCAATGGACGCCAAGTTGCCGAACGCACAGGCCTCGGTGGTGCCTCCGCACGTCAGGAACTGATCGGTGCTGATGCATACCGAAATATGCTACGAAAGGTCATAATTTTGAGCAAACTTAAGTGTGGAAAATTTCACCCGGCAGCTTACCCTGGGATTCTTCTTCAGCAGCTCGCCAAGCATCGTGGTCAAGTCTTCATGGAAATGTGCGGGGAAGTCAGATTTAGAAAGGTTAGTGCTCAGTTGGAAGAGAGGCATGTTGACGATAAGTACAGAGACGGACGGAAAGTCGGAAACTACACTATCTGTAAGTGTAAACCGTGTGATGCGTTCGGAGAATTACTCGATTCGCAGAATGATGTGTCGGTATTACAGTTTCGCTTCTTATAAAGCTTTCTAAGAATAATCTGTGGAGTTCGAATAGAGAAGTTGGCAGACAAACCGCCGCGAGACGCATTTGAAAATACCCTACAATCGCCATTAATAGGACAAATTTTGAAGGTTATCTCGAATGATGCGGCATTAAATAATTCAGTACCTAATCGCACAAAATTTATGCGCATACCAGTACCACCTTGGTAAACGTTAAAAAAATAATTTTTTGAACGGCCATGTCCGATTAAGCTCCGTAGATTACGGATAAATGGCTGATTAGGGCTGCAGCTGCTGCTCATCGCCCCGGTTCTCGACAGAATTACATATGCTGCGAGGAAAAATTCGACAATAAATATTCATAGCCCAGCTAATTAAGTAAAATTAAATAGCTTTTTGGAAGGACATTTCCTCGTTTAATGGTTGTTTTACAATAAATCATGCCGAAGTATAGAAGTGCATGACTTGGCTGAACTTGTGCATCTAGGTACCTTTAGTATTTTGGTCAAGTGGACGACTTGATCACATAAAGCTCATGTTAAGCACGCTCTATCTACGAAATTAACGCTATATCTAATTTATTTTGTTGCTCATAGTCTACCACAAATATACAAATGTGAAACAAATTCCGCATATAAAATTGTTTTTGCATGCACTACCATATTTCAAACGCCTCTCTACCGATATAAACGTTTCCGTAACATCTGCAGTACTGGTGTTATTTGCAGCACTGTACCTTGTGAATTCTGAATTGTTTTTTTGCATCGGTCACTGGCACTCAACAAACAATGGTGCAAAAGGCAATACATGTTCTTAAATGAGATTGCTAAATGTATTCTTATTTTTTCAACAATTTGCCATTGTTGGAACATTTTTGTGCTTCACGATTGTGCGCCGGCAGGCCATGGACAGCCAAATTCTTATTTTTTTTAAGTACCAAGTTGATATTCTACCTGCATACTGTATTTCCTGTGCAACTACAGCGTTGTATAGGGGAATGCTGCATAAGCTGCTGACCGGAAGTGCGAGCGGATGCGTGAATAGGATTATGGGAATGCATTAGGTGCCTTTAGAAGAGCAATGTTTGTATGAATACTTTATGATGATATAAGTACCGGCACAGCGATGTATAGCAAAATTTTGAAATTTCCAAGTACCTGATTACTTATATACATATATACACACGTATGCTTGAAGAATTAATCCAGTCTGTTAGGCACATTCACAAAATTTGACAGTTTTGGTCTTAATCGGAAGCACCTTCGCGCAGAAATATTATTCTTGCTCTTTGGCAAACACCGGCAACCTTAATATAGCAAGGTGCTGATTCCACGAACAAAATGCCTGGCATTGGTGGCTTTTACCAGCTACTCTACAGAGTAGATAACCAGACAAGCAAACTGCACGTTGTCTATATTCGCACGTGACGCTTCACCATAGAAAACCGGTGAAAACTATGCCGCCTATTACGGCGGGCTAAAATATTCTCCGTTCGTTAGTACTGTATTTTTCATTTGTTACTGGTAATTGGTAAATTAGGTAAGCATAAGCTAACAAGAATCAAGAAAACCTTTGTTACCTTGTGTACTATCAATTCTTTCGACCCGTATGTGCAGGCATGTCATTTTCAGGCGTGTGCAGTTCTTAAATTCAGGCAATCTGCATTCAGTATTTCACTACACAATATGTAGATCGGCTATCGAAGATTGAATTTTTGCTGCAAATGCATGCGCAGAAAAGATGCCGGAAGTTCCCGGCTTGAAAACAGTAAACCGGCGAAAGGGCGGCATTATGTATTCTGTCCATATCTACATTTAATTTTAATGACCCACTACAGTAATAAAAGAAGATGGCAGTTCTAAATTGACATTTTTTTGGATGACAAGATAAACTGGACGAAGTAAAAATGACAGCACGATATTAGCATGAATTTTTGAATTTTGCGCGCAACTTATTATTGTGCAGTTTCAACTTTCAACAGAAAATCACGAAATCGTTATATTTCTGTTTATAACTGGTAATTCCTTTTTTTCAAATTTAAAGAAAAACATTATATAGTTCGAACCGCTGAAAAAATTACATGCTCATTTTATTATTATGTAGCTGCCATATTCCGAATTGAAAGGACAATAAAAGTTTGCTCAGAAAACCATGCAGGCGTTTATAAAAATGGCTTAAAAAATTTATATCACATATTGGACACTTAACAGCAAATATAAGATTCAATAAAATCCAGGAAACTGCGTGGCACACCGCACGCAGAGATCGGGCAAGCAGTATCCACAATGATCCTTGTGCGTTTAGTTATACTTTTCCGACATCAGGCTATGGGCCTGTTTTGTCGCGTGCGATTTCGCCCGTTCGGCATCGAGCCAATCCAATCCCTCACTCTCGACAAGGCGGTCGACGGCGGCCGCGGCCAGTGCCGCTAACGTGTCTTTGATGAAGGAGTGGTCGGCCGTCCCGTCGGTTCCATACTGGTTCTCATAGGCCCGCATCGCTTCCCAGCCGGCAGCAGCGGCAATCAGCTCGTGGGTCCATGAGGCTTTGTGGTGGGACGCCGCGTGGCCGAACACTTTCCCATGGGCTTCCTGGGTCTAGAAAATATCAGCACCTCAGTGATAAGCGTCGAAATGATCACAGTAAAAAATTAGAAAAATAACGGAAATGCTATTTTACTATGCAGCACCGATACTGGCCACATTACAGTATGCTTTCAGCGCAGTATGAATCTGTATGATTACATACAAAAAAATTGGTTAAGAATCGTACGCAAGCTAGCGAGGTTTATCAAAGTAATACAGCAAGGAAATGCTATAGTATAGACGGCAGTTAACTTACCATTTTGCGCAGGTTGACCGGGCGTAGAGAAATAATAGCAAATTACTTCAAGGTAAAGGAAAGAAGCAAAACAAATTGGTATTTTTAGACTTCTTAAAGAGGAAACTACAAATGTCGCAGGGGGATTGCGAATATAGTGCCTGCGCGTATTGCTGTTTGATATACTCCATACTTATTTTACACTACATGGGTGATTAAGTGGCCAAACCTACTACAACCTGGGTAGGTCGTCGCTAGATTGAGATCGGTGCACGTACGATGCTATCATTGCTATCATTTATTATTGTTGATCGTCTTTTACAACAGCAAATTTATTCAACAAACTTCTAAGTCACTTGTGACTAATCTGTTGATTCATTGTGTGAGATTTACTGTACAGTAACTGATTAACCAATTGTTTAATGAAAGGTACTAGCTGCACTATCTCCGAACTGTCAGGGTTGACCATCGAATGTGGAATGAATCACATCGAAGCTAAATTACTTTTATTTACTAATTACTCATTCAAGATTTTATTTAAAGTAGAGAGATTGGTAATTGTGATATACATTATGCAATACCGGCATATAATGTGCACACATATAACATATTTATCGGCATATAACATATTTTTATTCTATCATTATAATTAGAGTGTACCAGCGCAGGCTGTTTAATCTAAGAGGTGGCCGTTGCCGAATAAAAGAGATTTTACCGGCACGTATACAATACAGTCTCAACAATCTGCATTCCCTGTAAAATCAGTAATGCAGTTGACCAGGTAGGAGTCTCATACTCATAATTTTCCTTATACCAATAAAATGCATGATCATACTCATATTGATCGTCAAAATCATAATCACACCGACGCTGAAACTCGTCATACTAATCATCAGCATACCAGAATTCTCTTACTGTACTGTACATACCTCTTTTTCGAGATTACGTATATTTAGCACATCCTGAGACTATTGCCAAATACAACCGCCAACTTTCCTTATCAACAATGCAGGCAGCACTACCTAATCATAAATGGACGACTGTTCTCTGCGCACAAGCAGCACCTACTCTAGTTGATTCCGGCACCTTGAATACTTCCGGTAATTTACGATTTCTGGTTTCATTTCTGGTCTGGCTCTGGCACCATTTTTAAAGCTTTTGTGTTCGTATGATCTGGTTAAAACCGAGCGGTACACTGTGCGAGTATTGCAGCCAGTTGTTTCACCACCAGAGAACACAAGGCGGCGTCGGTGATTGTAAGGTGGTGGTTTTGGCAATGTGTGAAAGGTCAGCTCAGCAACTAACAATTGTGACTCGCACATATATACATATATAATGGCCTAAAAAGCGGTAGAGCAACTAAAGGGAGTGATAACAATTAACAGCCACATCCATTTTAACAATTACGTTTTGAACGAAAGTAAACGAGCACAAAATGATTATCAAAAAAACTTCGATGTTAAAACTGTATAATTATGATTATGGCAACAGGTACGTACGAGTAACTGTATTAGTATAAAGAGGATTATGAGTATGAGACTTCTACCTAGCCAATGCATTTACTGATTTACTTGTAGCTAGGTTAAGGGATTTGGCCCGGTACATAGCACCAAATTCGGGTACATACACGGCAACTTTCGCTGTCGCGCACTCCCAAACACTTTTTTGCATTGCTTTATGATATTTTGTAGCCAAAAGATTTGTATACGTAGGCGTGAAATCCGTTTGCGCGCGCAACATCCGGTTCGGAAGTTATTAGTGAAATAAAATTCCAAAAGTTTAAACGCGCGGAGGTGTACCAAAAGTCTCATTATGAACCGATGCTCTTCAAATTTTGCACGAAAACGCACATTACTATGAAGATCGTTTTGGTACCGAACCAGCTTTCTAGCATGTTTTTGAAATTTTAAAATGAATTTCAAAAATTTTAAAAATTAATTTAAAATTTGAAAAGATTGGTAGAAAGCCGGTTCGGTACCAAAACGATCTTCATAGTAATGTGCGTTTTCGTGCAAAATTTGAAGAGCATCGGTTCATAATGAGACTTTTGGTACACCTCCGCGCGTTTAAACTTTTGGAATTTTATTTCACTAATAACTCCCGAACCGGATGTTGCGCGCGCAAACGGATTTCACGCCTACGTATACAAATCCTTTGGCTACAAAATGTCATAAAGCAATGCAAAAAAGTGTTTAGGAGTGCGCGACAGCGAAATTTCCCGTGTATGTACCCGAATTTGGTACTATGTACCGGGCCAAATCCCTTAACACTCGCCCTCGTCCATGTGCCTTAGAGGCACATTTAATCATTCAGAAATTCATGGAACGTTACACTAGCAGCTGAGTTCTTCCTATCTAACCTGAATTCCTCAGAAAATTTGTTTGCTTTTCACTTATTGAAACAGTTAGTAAAAATAAATGAACTGAAAACTTAAAAACTACAAATTCCAACCGCTTCCGGTTGGTGTACAAATGGCAGCCTCCCAGTGTGGCAGCGTGATTTGGCTCTTCTGTGAATTTTTTTGCGAAGTCCTCACTTCTTTTCAGATTCCGTTTACCGATTGAAAACCAACTCTTTCTACTTGAGTGCTTAATGAAAAGGAAGAACAAAGTGTAGAAACATTTTGCATGAATATCAGACCGTTCTACACCAGATTGCGAAGAACCCATGGCCTGCGCCTGCGCGGCACACAAGAAAACTCCGTGTAATTAAATGATAGACGAGTGCGAGTGTTAAGGTAAAAATACATTTATTGTCGGTCGTTGTTAGCATACAGATATAAAGCTTCAAATAACAAACATTCCCCACGCAAGCGGCTCAAACTCTATTTCCTTTGCCTGAAACTAGTTAGGCCGTTGCCAGCCAAGCGCTATGTAATAAAAATACGGAAAAACCGTATTTTTGGGACGGCGTACTTGGGAATATCGCGTGCTTCCACCTGCGTTGAATGTGTGCAACGTATTGAATTGTTGTGATGTTAGCGAAAACTACTGAATAAAATTATTTTGCATTCAGAAGACATACAACTGATAGAAGCAAACAAATCTTCATGAAAGGGAAATGCAGCATTGCTGAAATTCACTTTGCTTGTATATATACAGAGTACACCCATACAAGCTGCAATAAACGTAGCACTTCCGGTTAAGTAAGGTATCAATAGCATCAACGAATGAGTGTCCAGCTGTTTTGAATGGAAATCTGTCAACCATTTTGCACATGTATTTAGACAAAAATATTCGACTGAGTATGCAAACATGATATTGAGTTTGAATTTGTAGAAGTGATTATTGTTATTATTGCGTTAACTCTTTTTAGCACATATAAATTTTGGCAGTTGGTATTAGAATTTGCCGGTAGGTTACAGGTTGTTCAAAACTTTAATTTAGAAAAATGATTGGCTATTCCTTATTATTGCTGATTGCCGGCATTTTGGACTTCCTAACGGTTTGCAACGGTAACTTTGAGATCTTTGAGGTTTTACTTGTTCATCTAATTAATTCTGAAGCAGTGGTATCGTATGGTAGCCATGAGTACCTAAAAATAAATTATGAAATTCTTTTAGGCCAACTATATTAATTTTTATCTTACGTACGACGTATTTAGTACTATTTACTATATAATAAATTACTGTTTTAGAGATAATGTTAGGCTGTTTGTCGTCTCCTCAAAGTGCATACATTTAATGTATGTTTGTTTTTGTTTTTTGCAGGACAGTACAGCGGTTGAGTATACCTTATATTTATATACTGCATTATAGTACATCTCTATGAGATAAATATTTACGAATACATGAAATATGTATGTACGGTCTGTACATGTATATCTACTAATATTTAGCGACGGTTTTCGGTTTTTTGGATATCGTCAGTCATATGTCTGTCATTATGTTACAGTATATTTTTTGGACTGTTGTATTCTATCTATATGAATTGTAAATATGTTTGATCGTTATTTTACATGCTGATTTATATAATTAGGTGTAACAAACAGCTTGACGCCTGACGAACTGAATTACCTGCAGCAATACACGCTACAGCAACAAGCCGCGCAGGGCATCTATCAACAGCAACTGCTTAGCGGCGTTGGATCGCCTCCGTTAACATCGTACACCCCGACTTACAATAATTATCAGAACTATCCCACTTCTGGTAGTTACCCGAACGTGGTGGTGGGAGTGCCGGTCTCGGGCGGATCGTACGCCAATAATTATCCCTACTCCACATCGAATTATCCTTATTATCAGTATCCTTACACCGGCTAGAAAGAGAGCTTCTTATCTGGCTATCAAGTACATATTGCTGGATTGCTGACCCAATCCATTATTAATTACTCGTAACTCGTAGTTGGAAATTTCTGCTGTTCTCAATAATTATATTAATTTACCTTTCTCCGCATGAGTTGTGCACTGCAATCGTCATATGTTGCTCCGTTTAAGTTATGTTCAGGAGCCAGACCAACTGCTTGGCATACAAAACATGGCAAAAAAATGTATGCTGTTTTACAAATGTATGCTGGTTTAAAAACCAAAGTATGCTGTTTTTCGTGAAACATGTCCATTAGATTTCACTCAACTACATATATAAAGTTTCGTATTTTTCAGACCCATATGCGTACTTTGCCGGTTGGTTTAATAACTTTAATACGGTACTTGTTCCTGTGTTCGTAGTTTTTGGCGAATATTGTTCAAGTAGAAAAATAAAAAATATGTAGATAAGATGTGTAAATAAGAAGGCTGACTGGAAGTTATTAACTGACTGATTGTCCGCTTTCACCAGGCACCAGGTCCTGCCATTTTATCTGCACACCTGTCGCCTGGGCGTACACCCTCGTGCGGCGTGTAACGTTGTAAGTTAATTCTCACTGATGTTCGACTTACGATTTCCGTTTCCGGTGCAACTGCATTAAAGCAAGCGGCGAAGTTCTTTTTCTGCAGACTGAAAAGTCGAAGCTGTTTTGAAAATTTATAGATCGGGAAAATTTGTGGACACTGTAGTTTTTTAAATGGTCGAAGGTTCCAGTTTTTTTTAGAATATATACGTTAAAAATATACTAACAACATCATCAGGATATTGCAAAATTTGCATCGCAGTTCTCTGTGCCTCAGTGGCCGCTGTATGTCGTGTATGATTTTGAGTGCGGAATTCTAATTCTGATCTCTGCTGACTCTTCCCTTCCCCCACCATGGCCATGGACAACGAGAACAGCGCCCTGTCCACGGGCGACTACCTGGACAACGACGCCTCGCACCTCTCCGTCCCGGACACCGCCAGCACGGCGCCCCAGACCCCCCTGGCGGCATCCTCCCGGGCCGACTCCCCCGAGATCTCCACCGTCCCCCCGGCCACCCCCTCGGCCGTCAATCCCGAGGCGGCCTCCTCCCAGTCCCCCGTGCCCAAGTTCACCGTGGACAAGCGCATCAACGAGGACTACAAACTGTGGAAGAAGAACATCCCCTTTCTGTACGACGTCTGTCTGATGACGGCCACCCAGTTCCCCAGCTACACCGTCGACTGGGTGCCCGAGTCGCAGACGGTGACGGACGAGGAGCTGGGGCTGGAGTATGTGCAGCAGAAGATCGTCCTGGGCACGACGGCAAGGAATGAGGAGGACGTGCATCTCAATGGTGAGTGGAAAGCACGCAGTAGAAGTTTCTTCATGCTTGGTTCCTTATCGTTCTTCTAGAATCTACCAGCTTCATTCTTCAGTTTTTGATATCACCGTGTACTTTTGTAATTTTTTTTCTGTCGTGGTTTGCTTTACAGTAATTTATTTTTGTGGAATAGAAATAGTGCAATCTGTTTTGTTAGTGCGTTCGGAGTAATCGATATCTGTGGCAGTTTTAGGAAATTTTAAAATTAATCTTGACTGTTTATTTTGTCTACTATTTAAATCACTTTATTAATTCCCTTGCATTAGAACGCGTACTCGAAATGCGTATGGGTGTGATGTCCTTCGAGCTGCGCTGTATTCCTGCAGAAATCTCTTTCCCGTTCGATTTCATTTAAATTTCACGAAGAGCTCACAGCTAAACGTTTTAAATGAACGAATTTTATGGGCTTCCGGTGCGTGACGCAATTAGAACCGCCCGGTGTGGCACCGTGATTTGGCATACATTTGAAAGTCTTCTTTATTCTTGATTTTCGTGTCCGAAAAGTGGCTTCTTCTGTCCAACTTTGGATGAAAAATAAGGAAAAAATTACGAAAACCATCAGGCATAAAGTGGTGAAATAATAAAGAACAAATTACAGAAAGTGACAAATGTGGTATGTGCAAACAAAAAGGATTCCGCCTGTGTGACGCACAGTGCCACAGTGAAATGCAACGGGAAGCGAATAAGCCGTTGTACATTTATTTATTCTATGGAGTCATTAATTTTGATAATAGGATTAATTAAATATAATGGTGTGTGAATAAATGATCATGTGAAAATTGCGTTGCTTATGCTGATAATCGTTGTTTTCCTAGCTGCAAGCAGAATATGTATTTAAGTATGTGCTTAATTCTTTATCAGAATACTAGTATAAGGTCGTAACCGCCCTTAGGGCAAGCGGGCGGCGGTGTTAAAGTTTGGATGTGTAAAAACGAGAAATTGAAATCATTGGTCTGTAGATGCTGTTTTTTAATTTAGGCGCTTAAGGAAAGTGAGTTGAACGGGTGGCTGAAAAAAATCTCAGCCTTCGTTTTCGGTTTATTTCTCATGAATCACTTATCGCATCGCGAATTGTTCAGACTCCTTCGATAGACAATCTTCGTGACTAACCAAAACAATAAACCTTGTTTCAGGAAAACAAACCGTGCTTGATAAAAGTAATGCCAGATGAAACTGTGTAATTATTCATTATTGTATCCCAGCTTGATGAAGTCTTTTCGTAATTCTTTTACGTGCGTCATGTTCGAATACCTTTGACTGGCTCAGCAAGAAAATTGCCATTACATATTACCAACAGGAAAATGTTAGTTGGCACGGTGATTGCGCCGATTGAGCTATATGGTCAGCAAATTTTGAGAGCTTACTGTAAGAATACAGTTTATTAGCTACGTACTTCGTTTTTTTTCGCTGTTTTTGTTACCAGTTTTTGCTGCGCAACAGGCGCAACACGAAATGCCGGCTTGAGTGAAAAATGTAGCCAAGGTATTGTCCTTACAGAAACCAGTTTGATCCAAATAAATTCCTAATGCACTGAAGGAAATTTACTTTTAAGCGGATCTGTGGATTTTACGAAAATTTGATGGGTGGGGTCTCGATTCTCCCCTGTCCTGGTCAAATAGGGCCACTGAAAGTTGCATTGGTGAACAGCAAAAAAAACAGGGAACAACTCCTCCATCAGAAACAGGAGTCAAACTCAGGGTCAGTCAGGTTTAGGAGTTCGGCGAGTTTGTCTAAGCAGCGTTGTGTTCATAACACTTTTTATATTGTTTTATCGTTGAAATCGCATGCTGTACGGTACCTTACAAATCGCGGCTAGATTTTAAAACCTAAAAAGCCGGCGGACTTCTAGTAATATCGTAACTCAATAAGTAGGCGCGGCATTCTCTGCGTTGATAGTACTCGTTTCTTAACAGTTTGTACGGCGAAAGCAGTTTATGATAAAGTATCGAAAGATGCAGTTGCTGTAAATTCTAAATTAAACGCATTGGGTTTTGATTTTTTACGAGTTTCGGGAGAGGGATGCTTAAAGCCACGATGTGCATTTAGTACGAGGGGATGGGACATATTTAACATATTTAAGTGACGCGCCTATGATATCGCAGCTTAAACGAGAAAGTTATTATTGTTATCAAACGCATTGATCTGTAAACACTAAAATTATCAGGACAAGAATCGATGATTCAGGGTGCGCCGAAATTTATTTGACGCCCCGGAGTGATAAACTAAGAGGGTGAGCGTTTCTATTTCGTACGCACGGGGAGACGCTTTTAGCGTTGATTTTGAGGGAAAGATGGGCGTTAAATTCGGATTTTACGAACATATTCTTTGTAATGTAGCACCAGCACAGTTTAAGATATGGTCACCAGTACACTGAAACTTTCAATTGTACACGATGCTGGTCGACAAACGATACAGGCCTGTTACGATACTACGAAAATAGTTTGTGAATGTCATCCTGACGCAAATCAAATCCTGGTTAAAGCGCCGTTCTGTGTTTAGCTGCCCCTTATCTTCGGTTTAATACTTGTTCATCGTCTTGAGTTTTTGAAAATCCAATTATTCTGATGAATGTAATATATTTTTTACAACGAACAAAACCTAAGCCTTTTGGGCGCCCCAAAGTTGAAGTATTTCTTGCACCCTAAAGTTTTATCTTTTTTACTTGTAGTTGAAGAGTAGGTGCGCTTAATACTTTATCAAAATACAGCAAATCATTATTATGCTTGAAATCACTTAAAGATCAAAATACATAGAAAACCGCATATTTTGGGAAACCAAACGTTACATAAGGAACCAAAGAAGCTATCTCACAAAAAGCGTTAATTAAGCATTTTAAATGTTGATTTCTTCAAAGGCGGCGGTTTTAAAATCATTCTGCTATCACAAAATATGATTAGCATTGACAGTAATATAATTTTATCCACTGTTGAGGTTTAGGTTGAATTGCTTCCACTTCCTTATGCGACCAAACAAACCATGTTGTAAAAGAAAATACATCGACATAGTATAATATATGGAGTGGTAGGTAAGCTAGGTTTACAAACCGCTTTCGCTGCGAAATCGGCGTTAACCGAGAAAAATAAAGCTCAGTGACCTTCCGGGTTTGCGGTGTCAGAGGCCCCGGGGTCTGAGGGTGCAGACCACAGTGATTACTCGGGTTGAACTCAGGTCTTGGAGTAGGTGAAGAAAATTAAAGTCACTAAAGGTCAACACAGCGACCTTTTAGGTTCGCCGCGTAAAGAACTCACGCTTTTTGGGGGTGTGAAAACATTAAAGATCACCAAAGGTTAGATGTGACCCTGTTCGTACCACGGAAGAAACCGATACCCTTTTGTGCTACTGTATTCCATGTATCTGTAAATATTTTGGTTGTAATCTTATGTCCGCCATAGTTTGATTCCACTGTTCTCTGCCAATCAGCCGGTATCCCTTCCTAATACCTGTTCCCTTGTATTCCTACCGTACTAACAACTTATTAATTATTTAACATTTATGTATTGTTGCAGTCTTTTTTAGTGTAGTATCGACGATGTACTTAAAGCATCTCACCTGGATTGCTTATACAGCACTTCCAGGGAGCTAGATGTAAGGTCACGAAGCAGCTATGATTACGATTTCCAGGATAAAGAAACACAAATTCACTGTGCGGCCGGATCGCAGGCTTAACTTTATTAGTACGTCCCGTACGAACGGACGAAAAACTAAAATCAGGTTTGGAAATATGTAGGATGGGCATCTTCCGATACATGTGTCTAGTCATGCTACGCTCGTGGTGAGATGGTCAGAACAGAAAGTCACACATGGTGAACCGCTTAGACAGCATTCATGCGCTTTAATATCGAGGTATTTTCACGTATTCCGCAAGCACTCTGCCCGAATTCAAGGCGTTTCCTAATTTTTTATTTATGAAAACCAAGAACACGCTGGTGAATACATGCGGAATACGGAGAATACCGGGACACATTAAATGGAAGCTACAGTCATGTCTACAGCTATATGGAATACCGATGGAATAGGTGGGATTACTGCTGAATGCCAAAGGTACTTTGTCGTAGGGGCGAGATTGATATGCCTTCAGAGTGTGCCCGTACTCTCACTTACACTACCTGTATTCTGCCTTTATTCCTAAAGTATTTTCCCTCGCTTATCTCGCCTTCATGACTGATTTACTGCAGCTTTCTTGCAGCATGTTAGCGCATTCCCACGTATTCGGTCTGTGTTCAACACGCATTCACCGCTCCAGCAGAAAACTAAAGAGATTTAAAAAAATACGTTGTCAACATGGACTGTTGATGATGGACAGCATACAGGTGAATTCGTGGGAGTACGTTAATGCAGCACAGTAAGAAAAAGTCAGATGCACTTGCAAAAGGCAGAATGCAGTAAAACTTTTCCTTAAAAACACTCTTTATTTGGGACACTCGTCTATAACATTCAAAATGTAAGGAACTGGATAGTCTCGTAGACTGTAGCATACGGAAGATACTCTTTATACAATTCACCCCTTTATAACAGCTACATACCCCATCAATAATAAATATATGAATTATAGTAATACCGGAACATTTTTTTAGACGTTTACTCATATGGCAAACGTATGAATCACAATCACCCTTAAATCAGTGTTTTTTTGTCCCGAAAAAGACAAAATTTGTCCTGGAAGTATTTTGTCGTGACCCGGCAAAAACATCTGGGTACAAATGCTGTTTTTCCCCTCCAAAACCATTGCGTCTGTATTCTGAATTCCTATACTATGTGGTACAATACTAATTAGTCACTAGAGGAACCTTTTGTGTACGTACTTAGGTATTTTTCATAATTTATCAATACTGTAGGGATTTAATAACGGTTTAGGTTCAGGTGCGGTTGTTGTGTATGAGTGTATGCTAAAGTTTTCGACTGATAATGATACCAGCACGAACAGGTAAATAACTGAGATTTGCGCAACTTTACTGCTTTTTCTGGAAAATGCATTGTTTTTCCTCGATATCGGTGGACATCTGACACTTTCTGTGTGTCGCCAAACCATCCACTCCAACCTCGCTTGATAGCACTGAGCGTCCAGTTAGATTGCCATGCAGTTAGGGAATACCGGTGCGATGTGCACAATTTCTGGTACTACGATTCGCAATCGCTACTTCCCAAAACAAAGAAATGTAATAAGAGTATTATAAATTTGTAATAAGATACGGCTACACTGGCCAGGCGATGTAAAACATCTTTTGCCTGAGAGTCAATGGCAAAGGTGAAATCTGTCGATTAATATCCTAATAAATAACAGTAGTTAAATTAGTAGCCGCCTGCCGGATAATTAATAACAGTGGGAAACAAATAACAATATAAAGAGTGAAGCCAAGAATTTTAGTGCTAGTGTAATGCGGTAAGAAGACTGCGCCACTGAAACATCAAGTTTTGTCGAGCGCATTCACTATTAAGTGTTACACCGCGCAATGGAACTGCATGGCACACGCAGCCGTTGGGACGCGACTCTGTGTGAAATCCTGATAAGAGACGTTTTTTGACATTTGAACAGTATTGACGCGTACGTGCCCGTTTGCTGTGTGTATTCAGCTATGGCCGTTGAATGTCTTCTGTTGATTGACCATAAGCCCATTACGATTAATGAAATTATGAATGTACAGGTAGAAATATGCATATAATATTAAAATAAAAGAATTATTGCTTGCGCTGTGTTCTTATGTATATATACATAATTATATAGATACATATATGTACAACGTGTGCATATGTTCTTGTATTATATTACAAACAAGAAACAGAAAGCCGACCGCTTCAACGGGTGCATAGTTATAAGAAACAATACGAGTGCAATGCTCATTGCTCAGTAATTAACGTTATGGGTTAGCATTTCATGGCGCTAGTGAAAATTTCATCTGCCGGTGCCGGCTGTTTTATATTACAGTGCTTTACTCCTTTTTTTGCTGCTACAAAAAGAAGTCAGCTATAAAAGCAAGAGAGTGCGCCCAATAACACCGATATCGCTGTTATTTGGCGCACGCTTTCTGAAGGTGAATAATTTAATTTAAGTACAGTAATTTTTTATTAGGCGCTACCATTGCTACCAGGAGTTTTGTAGGGGCTGCACTACGAATAAAAAAATCAAGAAAAAATGAAACGCCTAATTTTCAAGTACATACAGGTCGATCGCACCAAGTGTGGGCAGTTAGAAAAAATATCCGTTTGCTACCACTGAACCCGAAAATCTTTTTGTTATTTTTATATGATAATTCATGGTCTATAGCAACTTTTTTAGTCGTATTTCTGCGGTAGAAGTTAATATGCAGGGAACGGTAGCCGAATTTTTAATTTCATTTTATCCAAAAAAACGCACTGCTTATTAAGAAATATCTATGCTCAGTCTATAATTCTTTAAAAATTCTGGACACGTGAGAACTACCAAACAATAATACGGTTTTCTAAAGGTCCTTCTCTAACGTCCTTTAAATCACAAACGCCTGGCCAAACGCGATCCCTGCTCTAGGCAACCACATCCTCCGGATGGTACCTTTTAACGTACAAGTCTATGGGAGCTAGTTCTTGTTTTGAGCTCACAACTGGCACTAATCACACAAGAATCTTTTGCTAACCCTTAACGAATGCCTTTAAGGCCACCCAATGGCTTACAAAAAGGTTCACAGAAAAATATCAAATACTGAATTTTTGAGAGGGGCGGTTATAAACATTAAAAAACTGACCCCTACCCTCTCCTATTAAGCCCCGCCCTACTCGTTCCGGGCGCATCAACGGATTTCAATTTCGACATCGCTGGATTTGCAATAAAAAGTTGCACTAATTAAGGTGAAAGTAAACAACAAAATGGTTTACACAATTATTTTTCAAATTATTTTACTCAACTGCCCACACTTGGTGCGATCGACCTGTATAATACACATTTTTCCAGTAATACGGTCGAAATATCGCAATGTATGACCGTACGTCCGTACGTAATAAATGTAAAAGAACTGGTGAACATGCAGTCGCGCACAATGGATAAAAAGAAAGAGCAAGAGTGACCATCTCAATTATTTCCATAAGGAAGATGTACGTGTATGAGCTTGAGCGTTTACACTTCTTCAAATTTGAAAAGTGAAATTATATAATATTTATGTAAGACATAATTATAATTAAGTATATACATAGATTATAATTATACCATTGACTTCTACGTATAAACATAAACATACAAATTGATACTCGTACATCTTCATTATGATTAATTGGTATGTTTATGAGTAGAAGCTCAGCTGCCGACAGATCTTTGTCAGCTAAAACTGGTTTAGTATTTTTCGAACGAAATTTGCCAAATCACGACAATATTCGTGAAGAACGAGATAAAATTGTAACTGTCCAGGCGTTATCAGTCAGCGATGAATGCGATTTGCATGAACCGACGTGCGAACCTGTGTATCACATGCCGTTTTCTGTGAACCACTCATCCGTAACATATAAAACTGTCTTTCCATATAAATATAATTAATAGGGATACACTTTCCGCGGAACCAAATGCAGTTTTACGGGTGAAGAGAACCTCTGTATTACATTCAGCTGCGGCTGCATACACTGACGGTACATACAGTAACGCGTATGTAATGTGATGCAATCACATTACATTAACGTCTGAAGGAAATAATTTTAGCAAACCCATAATATTGCTTTCTATAACTTTCTTAAAAGACAGTTAGTTAACAGTTAATTTCATCAAAAATTATATTTGGCATTGTGCGTGGTAGCGCCAAGTTGAAGACAGCGCATATTTAATTCGCCCCCTCACTTCCCTGTACTTGTTAGTTCTGCTCAATTATTATGGATAAAACTATGGTTCACGGTTCACCTATTTGAAAAAAAATTTTTGCTGTCTTTTGTATAGATCTCATATTATTTATATTTCAATTTCATTTCCGGTGAGTTTTCGACTGACCAGCGTTTTCAGGATATTTTGGCTTGAAACTTTTAACGGTCTTCGTACTTTTCAGTGTTTGTTTTTTTCTCATGTACTTTTGTCGCCTATTTCAAGAAAAAAATAAGGTGGTTGGCTTTCCTTATCTTCCACAGGAAAGAGGAATGTTTTAAAATATGCTGTTTTCAAAACCGACCGGGATTTTTTAGGTCGCCGTGGTAAATTCCCTGTACACTTGTAAGGCATTACTCGGCTTCTCCCGGCTCATTTTCGCACAGACACAACTGTTAGGTGTTCTAGTTTTGTGTCTGCTTAGGGGGTAGTCGCTATTAGCTACACTTGTCCAACAAAATCTGGAACCTAGTGTGTCATCCAGGAATCTTCCCTTTGGGAGACCCTGCAGAATCGGAAACCAATCCGAATTTTGAACAATTTTGTTTTGTTCGTTTGCACAAATATCAGCCTTTACGGTGATATAAAGTACGAAAGAGACCCAGACGATCTGGATTTTTTCGTAATTTTTTTGTTGATCCTCCCCCTTTGCATTTTACGAAGTGGTCACTGGTCAAATTCCAGTGACCACTTCCGAAAAAAATCCGAAAATTCCAAAAAGAGTTTATATACCAAAACAGAGTTTTTTTCCAGTTCTCCAAACATAGCGTTACTAGTTTTAGCAATAAGAGAGTTAAAAGTACCAAACTCTGAAATTTTAATAATTGGCAATAAATAAACTTGTATGGCAATTTGTTTGTTATTTGAGCGGAGATGATCAGTTGTCCCTGAAAATTGGCAGGCATCGTGATAATGAACGTGCGCTTCCCGGCGGCCATCCCCGACCGTTTCGCCCATCTGGACGACAAGCCGACGGAGTTCCGCAGCGATATCGGCCTGTTCAGCGCCTCCCCCTCCTGTTTGTTCACCTGCGGCATCATCGCCCAGTCCTACCCTATCACCAACGTCCGCATCATGCCGCAGCGCCCCCAACTAGTCTGCGCCAAACTGGCCGACAGCACCATGCTGGTGTACGACTGGAAGGAGGAGCTGGAGGACGGCTGGTCCTACGATGATCCCATTGTCGAGAAACCGGGACTGTTTGAACTGGTCGGCCACGACACCAAACACCCCGCATCACACGGACTGGCCTGGAATCCCACGGTGCAGAAGGAGGGCTGGCTGGCCAGTTGCGCCAAGGACGGGAAGATCCTGGTGTGGGATGTGGGCGGGCTGCGGGAACGGGCGGAAGTCACGCCCACCGTGACCATCACTGGACATGCGACATCCGTGGAGGTAAAACTGTATTCCCGGTGTTATTTTTTCCGTATTTTGCTTTACTTTTCGAGGCATTTCACGGCTAAAACGGGCCTTCTTGCGTATGAAACGTGTTGAAATAGAGAAAAATATTTGTAAAAAAATTAAATAAATTTTACCAGCGCAGGTACTCGGTTGTGTTTGGATTTCAGACTCGTGCTTGATCTGAAAATGAAGTCTAACCTGAGCTTCACTGTATTCCAGTTTAGCATTGGAAATCATTAAATTTTGGTAAATTAGTTTAATAAAATATTGTGATATTGCTGTGTGAATTACCAAAAGTACTGCACGTACTCTGTACTCGTAGCTCTGATACGAATTTTACTTTTACTCTTCAGCGTATCAGCCGTTGTAGTGTAGTGGCACGTGTCTGGTCTTCGGAGAAGACTGCATTTGATACTGTGCTTGTTTTCTTGTATGTCGATTTTCAAGCGAGAAAAATCAAGGGATTTAATTTAATATCCCGGAGTTAATTAACAGCAGTTTATAACAAATCATTTTTATTACTGTTATTACAAAAAATAAGAAAATCAATAAAATAATGATTTTTGAAATGTAATCTGAAATTCAGTTCAAATCAACTGTAAATTTGTAATCGATTCTAACTGTCTTGATAATTGCATTTATCAGTTCTTTTTTATCCCAGTTTTGTTCTATTTTTCTGTTAAAACGTCAAATCTTTTGAACGAAATTCATTAGAAAGCGATTTCTCCAATAGTCATTTCGGTCTTCTTTCAAATAAATTGTATGTCTAGCCATAATGTCTAAAACTATGTCTATAAGTATGAAAAAACGGTCTAACACTGTTTGCGTCATCTATACGTGCAGGATATTGCCTGGCACCCCCTGTACCCCACCCTGATCGCCTCCGCGGGGGCGGACAATTGCTTCTGCCTGTTTGATCTGCGCTCCCGCGATCTCTCCCGTCCCAGCCACTCCGTCGTCGCGCACACCGCCGGCGTCAACGCCGTGTCCTTTGCGCGGGCCCAGTATTTACTCGCCACAGCGTCCGACGACACAACGATCGGGTTGTGGGATATGCGCTATCTGGGACGGAAACTGCATTCCCTGCAGTACCACACGAGCGATGTCTTCAGTCTGGACTGGTGCCATGAACCCGACCAGTTGACGGTGTTGGCGTCGGGCGGGGCGGACCGACGCATCTGTCTGTGGGATGTGGCCCAGGTGGGGACGACGGTGGAGCGCAGTGTGGAGGTGGACGCGCCGCCGGAGCTGGTGTTTGTCCACGGCGGACACACCGGGCGGGTGACGGATGTCGGGTGGAATGCGGTGGAGGGCCGGAAGATGGTGCTGGCCAGTGTGGCGGAGGATGCTATTGTGCAGGTAACCACGAGCCGGGGGAGGCTGTGTAATGGTATCAATAAATTATTTAAAAATTTTGAATAATGCAGGATGATCATTGTGAATAAATAATGCAGACTAATCATTTAAAGAATTTGTATAATTATATGTGCATCAATTATTTAAAATGGTTAAATAAGGCAGAATTGTCATTTAATAGTTTTAAAGATATGTGAATCAATTGTTTAAATATATTTAAAAATTGTTAAATAATGCAGAACAATCATTTAATAATTTTAAATACGTATATATTTACTATTTAAAATTGTTGACTAATGCAGAATAATCATTTAATAAATTTGGGTATATATGAATCAATTATTGAGAATAGTTAAATAATGCAAAATAATCATTAAATTTGTAGCAGTTTTGCTCATTACTGCGAAAAAAGAATTTTGAAACAAGTCAAAATAAACACCAATTAAAAATAAGCCATAAAATAAATCATTTAATAATTTTAAATGTGTATGAATCAGTTACTTAAAGTTGCTGGATAATGCAGGCTAGTCATTGGCCGTCACATGTTTTTACGATAAAGCTGGATATTATTACTGGGAGCCATACGAGAATTACATATAAATAATATCATGTGCTGTAGGTATGGATGCCAGCGAAATATCAGCTGTGTACGGAAGAGATTCCCGCCGCGGTGGAACCGCCCTCCGAGCCCCTGTCCTCCACATCGTCCACGGCCGCCACTACAGTGGCCGTGGCCGTTGAATCCTAGTACATACTGGCTTTAACCACGATGTTTTCAATTCATTCTTCCCTGGCTTCCAAATGCATGCTTTGTTTTGTTTTTGTTTAGATTTTGCTGTCTGTATAGTTTAACGTTGTTATTTTGTTTCCTGTTACCAAGTATTCCAGTGTATTGAGTACGTGAAACTTCTGCGATGTGCAAAAGCAGTTTTTTATTGTTGATCAAAACCTTACTAAGGATTTTCATAAGCAACATTCGCCTGGACTAATAAAAGCTATCAGCGTAGCCTGCGTAGGCATACTACGTTGTACTTCATAATTAAGAATTTAAGCAATAAAAAAACAGTTAAAGTCACTATTTGTTTTCTTGGGTTAGAAGCACAGTATTTAACGTATTACACACCCGTAATCGTGTCATTACCTTTAACATTTCTTATTATAGGCGCTTTTTACTTCAAATACTTCAGTTCTTCTCTTATTTTGGCCACCTTTCGTGTAAATGTTCGTAAACTGCATCGGTCAGCGATGCCATCGATGTGGCGCGCTTCTTGGCTAACCATTGATCGCGTATACCTATGTTTTTGCATCTAGTCTCGAATTTCTTCATTTTTGTTCGGTTCTGACTTCTAGGTAAGGTAGATTTGCCTTTTTTCCGGCGCAGCTCGGCATGGCATATCTTCTTTCGACTTACACAATGTTACCGGGCGATATACTGTTGTTCCAGAGACCAGTGCGGTCATGTACACAATTAACAGTTATATTACAAATACACCATCAGTCCCGGCAGTTAAAACTGAGCCACTGGAAATGAAAAAACGACCGGCTTTCTTCTCGAACATACAGCATGGTAAGCTAGAGTTACATAAGCGGCGACAGCGGGTCATTCTTACATACTGTTACCGGTTTACCGGTATGTAATTGTATTCTCCGATGGTATTTTCTGCGGCCTTCCTGGATGCGTTTCGACGCTGTTCTACAGTGGAAACTTGGGGTTTTACTCCCCCCGGCCGGCCCCCAGATCCCATCGGGCATGGCCCACAGAAACGTCCAACTGCACCTCCACGGCCCGGTCCATCACCCCATCCATCCAGAGGGCAGAGGCCGGCTTGACAGATACACTTCGCGCGGTCCAGTGTGAGCGCAACGATATTTTCCACAGTGACCACCCAAGCGTCCCTGTGCGGAATGGACGGCTGAAGTCCATGTTGAAGATCCGTTTGAGCACGTTATGAAAGCGTTCGACCGGCCAAAACATCAGTATGCTCATTGTGGATGATGCGGTACGGCCGGTACCGCATAATACACAATGAGCGTGCTGATTTGTTTGCCTTGATTGGTTAATCCAGAGTGCAGATATGCACTGTGGGATGATGTTCAGAACTTTAATTCTGTGCATTACCCAGCACAGTGTATCTGGCATTTTTGCAGTTGGATGGGAACGTTCTAGTCGGAATCCGGCCGGATAACAACGCCGGGTATAGTTCAGTTTCTGCCAGTGGCCGCAGGTAAATACTCGTAACATCCGTTCACATTACATGTTATAGTGTATGTATTACGTACGTAACACACTGTACATGTCTCGTGCAGCCACCCCGATATAGATGTCATATAGTCATGCGATATAATATACAGGGTGCGAAAAAGGATGCCTGTAATAAAGGGGGAGTGGAGTGGATACTTAAGCGGTTTCCTCCTGGATAGCCCCCTGCAATGGTTCACACCGCTTGGGTGCATGATAAATTCATGAGCGAAGATGTTTTACCGATTGCAATGGTTATTTCTGGCAACCACGTTGTGTGATCGAGTGCTGGACAATGGTGGGCAATCAACAGTATGAAGGCGTATGCTGTGCTAGTACTTCTACGCAAAGTGCACCGAAGTTATGTTAAAGCATGATAAAATATCGGTGAAGGCGCAGTATGATAAAATCACATCGGTCCTCGTAATATTTCAACAAATACCACGTATCATTATAGCGCCGGAATCATTAACCCAAAGTTTCGTTCTCGCATGACAGTTTTACAAATAGCAATCAAATATTACCTAATAATATACTGATGATAAAGTACTTAATAAATTATTAAATACTAAATGCAAATAATAACTAATAAATAAACGCCTATGTAATAATTACGAGTATTAAGTGCTCAATGAAAACAATAGTAATCGAAAACAACAAAAAGTAGCTAAGAAATGTTGATTAGTACTAAAATGTGACAGTATGTCTTTTTCCTGTGGGAATTCGCCCACCAGTCCGCTTTAAACCTTGTACCATCCTATGCAATGTGGTGAAATATCACTTAAGCTGCGTAATCAGGCAAATATGCAACAGAAAATCGTCCGGTGAAATTTCCTGAGCGTATATACGATACAATCTGACTAAATGAGGAGGCTACGGTCTATGTTAAAAAGCCTGCGAACAGCCTTTTTTGCCCGCTGAGGCTGATTGATCAATGCAGCCTCTCTGCTGTGACTATAAATAGACCGAAGACAGAGGATTTCAGTGCTGCTAAAAAGCGCAAGCTGAATGCTGCCTCGCTGTATCGACCGATCGGCACATGTGCGTGTGAGTGGGTTAATCCGCTCGCATTCACTTACACACGTATGAGTGTGGCCGTCTGTGCGCGTACGAGCTGTACAAACCGGTTTTCGCTGTCTTCGCTAGAACGCACACCCTAAACCCGTAGCTTCCTTTCTTGCTCGCATTGTACATACGTACACCAATACATGCGAAATATTTTGTGGATTCACTTTTTTTCAGCTGGCGAAAAATTTGCTAGGTACGCTTTTGTTAAGAGCAAAATTTAGAGTGTCCTTAAACTAAACGTGCTCTGCAACGGGAAAGTGTACCGGCAACCGGATGTCTGCTATCCGGCTTCGTTTTGCTGACGATACTGCTGGATACGTATTCCACGTAATAATGCCACTTACAAGTGTACTAAATTTTTACGCCAGCTATTTTATCCCGCAGTGTACAAGGGACGGCGTTTCGGGACGCATATATAAGAACGACGGAAGCTAACTGTTTTATCAGTATTACCAAAATATTACTGTTCCTTGTTAAGTCTCGGCTGTACTTGTGCATTTATACATCCTCGGAAAAAAAAACTACTCAACATGGCCCGTTTCGCAGTTTTGTGCATTGCCGGTAAGACAAAGAGCACAGTAACCGCTTTATTTAATTCATTATGGTAGATTGTTCTTCACTGCTAAAACTGCATATATCAAGTCATATCTGCAGTTTATTCTGCTTAAAAAACTTCCTTTTTCTCTTTATTATCTGTACTCGTACGAATGCTAGCGTGCGTATACCTACAACGCGATGGAGTCGGTGAACATTTTGTCCTAGATAACACTGCAAATACATTAAAAGTTTTTACAGACTGCGATCGATTTTTCCATGGTATTACTTTATTTTCCTGCCATGTTTTCTGAAAATGTTTTGTAAAACAACCGTTCAATAACGCTAAAGACGGTATTGGATGTTTCGGTACTTTTAATCCATCCTATCTTAATTTTTTAAAGCAGTAGTGTGCAACTATAGCAGTTAGAACTATAAGGGGAATTTACCTGCTGAGGCCAGCACTCCCTGTACTTGCTGCCGTCACCCGCCTGGAGTGTGACGTTACGGCAATACATACGGTTAAATCAGGCGCGGTACATAAGCACCATGTTTAGCCACAACGTAAAACTCCAGCCGGGTGACGGCAGCAAGTACAGGGAGTGCTGGCCTCAGCAGGTAAATTCCCCTTATATGTACAGGACACAGGTACATATTGTACCTTACTTACTTTCTTCGTCTGGATTTTACCATAATATGTAATAAACAGAACACTGGTCACATAAGGAAAAAACAGTTAGAAAACTTACTGTAGGAGAGAAGTTAAACCAACAGCTATTCATGGGATATGCTCGCATGTAGGCATTGTTCTGATTTGTTTGCATGTATTGTTTCGTCCTGCACTTCCGTGTGTGCTCCTTAGAGTCCGTGCCCAGGAAGACTTAGTGTGTTGCGGCTGTGTGCAGCAAAACGTTTATATCTTAAGCCGGCCTTTTTCTTTTCAGCCCTGATGGTTGTCGGCATCTGCCGCGCCTATCCACAACCCCCTCAGAACCAACAACAACAAGGTCAAGGTCAGCAGCCGCAAGGTCAACAACCGCAAGGTCAGCAACAACAACAGGGCGGTCAGCAAGGAGGAAGCCAGCAACAGCAAGGAGGCCAGGGACCCCCGCAAGGCCAACAAGGAAACCAAGGACCTCAGCAACAACAAGGAGGCCAGGGACCCCAACAAGGCCAAAACCAGGGAACCCAGCAACAGCAAAACCAGGGACCCCAACAAGGCCAAAACCAAGGACCCCAACAAGGTCAAAACCAGGGACCCCAACAAGGTCAAAGCCAGGGACCCCAACAAGGTCAAAACCAGGGACCCCAACAAGGTCAAAACCAGGGACCCCAACAAGGTCAAAACCAGGGACCCCAACAAGGTCAAAACCAGGGACCCCAACAAGGTCAAAACCAGGGACCTCAGCAAGGCCAAAACCAGGGACCTCAGCAAGGCCAAAACCAGGGACCCCAACAAGGCCAAAACCAGGGACCTCAGCAACAACAACAAGGTTCTCAACAAGGTGGTAGCCAAGGACCATCCCAAGGTGGCAATCAGGGAAATAGCCCAGTCATATCCCAACCTTCCGCGAGCGCTTCCCAAGATGCCAGCCTGGCTCTGAAGGGAACCAATACCAATGCCAATTAAATTAATTTTGTGACATCGCACTCATAGAGAAAAGTTTATTAACAATGTAATACTTGAAGTTTATACGATGTACGACATGGATCAGCCATTGCAAATTAAGTTTTGCAAACAAGGTTTCTGATGTTCAGAATGGTTGCACCGTCAAACTGAAATCTCTGCGCTTAATTTATCTACCAGCAACGGTACATACATTTGTAGCAAACGCAAACCAATAAAGTGTGCATTTTATTCTGTTTTCGCCCATGAAAAGCAAAAGCATAGCCATTAGTTACCGGCACATTATAAATGGTTTAAAACATAAGGATGGTAAGAACACAAGGGCTCGCACAAATCAAACAGTGTAAAGTAGTGCGTTCATGTACGTACATTATTCCAGTTTCACATGTCCTGGCTGGATTCCAATGCTACTTCGTTGGCGCATATTAACGCCAGGCGTCCCTGTCTTCCCTTTTCCCTGGCATCTCTCCAGAGTTTGTAAGTTACAGCTCACGTTTGCAAGACGGTTCTGTGACTATGACACCAGAAAAAGTTTAAGCCCTTTACTGATGTCGCAGAACATGCCTTGGTTTATAGTACATACCTGCTATAACTATCGCCTTCGCACATTCAGAAGCGAAATGATACTTACCTACAGCACATAACACAATATATAATATGCGTATAATAATAATTTCAAGTTGTCACTAATGCTTTAAAAACAAATTGCACAAACTGCATATAAACGGTACATATCTGCACAAGTAAAAATGTTTTTTTTATTTATCAGCCACGTAAAAACACGCAAGTACTGAACATCCGGTACTGAGGTACTGTAACCATAAAAACACAAATTAAATGAATGAGCTGTACATGTGTAGAACCCATTTTTATTTTTATAGGTACATATTTCATACGCAATTTTATGGCTGCTCTGTGATGTTATCTAAGGGTGTCTGTAAAACAGCAACAGGCTGCAGCTATTCACATTATTTTATGCCCACTTTCAGAACGATGCCGACGGCTTGGAAAAATGTTTGTCGTCTAACATGTACTTAAATTTAAAGCAGTACGTTATATTATTGCGTAATAGCTGTACAAGGTATTCTGAACTCAAATTAGCCGGACTTTGCTTTTCGTTTTTCGTAAATGAATTTAACGTGAAACTACGGGCGTGCCATGTATTGCAGAGCTACCTATTACAAAGGTGAAAAGAAAAGTAATATTGGTAAGCAGTAAGCAGCTAATACACAAACGGTTCGCCGTATTATTCTTTCATGCATGCCTAATGTGTTGGAGATTCCTGTGGATGCCACTTGAAACTTGGGAATTGTTCTTATGTAAGCGATTTTTAACAGACGTGGAATTCGGTTTTAGCAGGCCATTGCATAGTATAATATCAAGGTGCCAAAACGCTTTAACTTCTTTCTACCGGGATATTACTATGTACAGTATCTGTACAACCGCTATAATATTAATAACCGCTCGTATCATACGCTTCAGACTGCGCCCGAATGGTACGATGTGCTAATATTATTCAGTACGTAACTGCAGCCGACACAATGCAACATGTGCAATCGCAATAAAAATAATATGTGTGACTACAGAGCAGGAAATGTATATTCTAAGAAATATTGCCGAAAAATGTGCTTATCCTAACTGCTCTCCTGCATATTTGCATTTTGCCAGCATGCAGTATTAATTCCATAGTTTCAAGCCGGCATATATAAATTCCAGCGGGCACTTCCCAGTTCTTGTCGGTGGATTTGTTATAATTCCAACTCGGTTTCTGTTTTTGTACCATGGAGACCCGATTCGTTATTCTCTGTCTGGCTGGTAAGTGGTTCTTTCACATATGAACCTCCTTATATATGTACAATACTAGCGTTGGGTCCTAGTAAGGTATAATTGCGTTTTTTAATCATGAAGAATATCTCACAAACACCGATTCACCATATGAGCTCATAGAAGGGGGAAAAGCAAATCACCAACACAGCTTCCCTGTGCTGCGATGTCTGTCAGCTGGAGTCTAACGTTATGGCTGTGCATATAATTATGATAAGGCTAAATCCGGCGCGGTACATTAGCGCCATGTACACGTTGCGACCCGCAATGTCATACTCCAGCCGGCTGACGGCAGCAGTTACAGGAAAGTCGTGTTAGTGATTTGGTTTTCCCCCAGCTATGCACTATGTATTATGGGCATTACTGTAGTCCGTAGTGATTAAACAGGTACCAGCAACATGTGCTGGGCTTTTTGCCGAGCCGCCTGAAAGCGCATTAACTGATGGTTTAGTTTCATGTATCGAATGTTTCAGCTATGGTAGCCGTGGCGCTGTGCCAACAAGGCCCTGACGGTCGTCCGGATAAACCGCCTCCTCCTCCCGGGCATGGTCCGCCTCCTGGACAGTTCGGAGGCGGTGGTGGTGGAAGCTTTGATCCGTATGGTGGTGGTGGTGGTGGTGGTGGCATGCCGCCAGGAGGCACCAACGCCGGTAGCGGAACGGCAGTGGATAGTTCGGGATCGTCTGCTAGTGCCGCAAGTGACACTAAGTTAGCCCTGAAATCCAATTTATAACAGTTGACCCACTGATTGTTAAGCGGCGTTGACTGGCCAGCTGAACCGTCATAAATTCAGCCATTCCATCTTCTTTGCAAAAATCGTTTATAAGAACATGATAATTATATCCTTGAAACGAAGGAATGTTTGGTTATGTTCGTTTTAAAAAATGCCGCAGCCTGTTAATCTGCCGGCTTACTTCAGCAGCAAGTGTTTGAAATAAAGGCAACTGCTATACCGTTTGTTTCAGTTTTAGTTCCTCAAACTTGTCCAGCACAGAATGATACGTATAACGGTATAAGTACAAATGTACAATACAGTAGGAGTATATCAGCGCACTATCCAGAAAGTCTACCATTCTGCCGTCAAAATTAAGACGGACCAATAAAACTGCTTGAAAACAACCAAAGTAATCCCGATCGATACATTTAGGGTATTTATATTATTGACATTTATTGTATGTAGTACGGTATATGACACTTTACAATTAAATGTGATAAAATATAATGCCTTTCGAGTAAATCTAAATGAATAGCGTTACTAGCGTCGGAAATAAGTCGGACGTTGCTAACCACGACTCTGAATTCTAACTCACTCGAGCCAAAATCGTACTATATTTCTGTTGTAAGTTATTCTGTTTTCCGGATTTCACTGCTAAAGTGTAAAGCCGCTTTCATAGTTGATGTTCGGATCTGTCTTGAACAAAAATTGCGAAAAGACAGCTTGAACTATGAACGACTTGTTTGCGAACAGAAAACTGTTCGCAAGGTCAAACTGTGAAAGCTTCCCGATCAGTGACAAAAAGACAAGAAAAGACATGTAAAAAGACGGTTCGGGTTGGGCAGTCCCCCCGCTACAAAAAAGACAGTTCGGAAGCTTGTAGCCAATAGTTTTCATCTGACCGCTATGACGCACAAGCGGATGCGGTGTACTGTACACGGATACATAAAATATATACAAATATGTTATTTTAAACTGCGCAAAGTGAATCATTTTCTAATCACGCTCGCTGCTGTATATTCTGATTTTATTTTTATTGAAAACTTTGAATAAATTGAACTGATTGATTCCCCCACATTAAGTTCATATGCCACCCAAAAAGTTAACTTCTACACGTAGTAAGAAATCTACGCAAGTGTCACAAGTGCATGGTTAGCCCATCACCAGTGGTGAACACAACTTCCGCCCAGAGACCGAATTCGCCATAACGACGGCGACTGAGATTTACCGGTAGAATGTACCACTCCCGCTGGGTCACAATATTTGGTTTGTTAACACCAGTCGAGCTAAAGCGAGAAATGCAAGCAAAGCCGGCAGCTTTTTCTTCTCGATATCCTTTTTTGGCAGCATTTTTGAAAGTGTTGGAAACTCAAAAATTTTAATTAGAATAAAAACTGGAAACTGGCGGTTATGTGCATGCCTGACAATTTACGTATGCACAACTGTACTTAGTTGTCGTAAAAAATGAAGGAGGAGCGACATTTGCCGAACCATTTCTGGTATGACTATGAACGATTACGTTCATGAGCATAATCGAAAAAGACAAAAAATTATGTTCGGTTCGCCCAACTGTCTTGAACACTTTTATTTCAAAATTGTCTTTTAATGTTCGGTCTTTTCATTTTTGTTCTGTCTTTTGCCCGAACATCAACAGACTATGGCAGCGGCTTAAGGAAAACTTACTCAGCTTGTTTTGTGGTGAATTTGGCCAGCGAGGGAAACAACCAAAGATCGTTTCAAAGGCGACAGGCTGGAAAGCGGGCCCGCCCGCCAGGGCAGTCTGTTTGACTTTTGGTACTCACCGCTTCCGCTACAACGCCAGAATGCTCCGTTGTATATAACCGGTCTACATCTCTGCATCCTATCAGCCACAGTAACGTCCCTACTCATGCTTACCGTTTTTGTGTCTAGCTGCTGCTAGCGTTGTGAGGCTGCTGTACTTGGCGTTGTACCAGAATAAACTATAAACAGTTAATTATGGTGTCCTCTATTGGCAGTTCTAAAGGATTACTCTTGTGTGGACTATTGTGGATCGATGTTGAGAGGGCATCTTTTTGCGCATTCATGCAGCAGAAGCGCATGTTAATTGTTATGCGAAATACCTCATGATTTTTATAGAATCACACATGGCGTTATTGCACAACATTTTCTGTTAACATTGGTTTTAAGGACCGGATGACGTCCCGCCGATGGCTCTGGGGTGCCTTGTACTCTGCCCGGAGGTTGAATTAGCCAGGTTCGAAGTGTTGCCAATCTTCACGGGGGATGCGTTAAGCAGCGACCATAATCTTTTTCGATATTCTTGTGACATAATGAGGAAAATGAACTGCAAAATAAAAAAACCCACATTGAAATAGATCTTCTATATGTAAATTCTCACACCATTTTGAGCCCGCAGTACGTGAGTGCGCGCCATGCACCGGCCACAAGAAACGTACCGGAGATCCTGCAAAACCCGCAATATAGATCGTCCGCATCCACAAACCCAAGGGTGGATTTTTAGCGTACAGATACGGAAAGTTCGAAACGATCAGTGTGTGCGGCAAATAGCAGACCAAGTACCATAGCACCGATACAAACAACATTCGGGCTTTGTTCATGCGGTTGACCTTTTGTTTCCGTGCAGCGGCATTCCTGGGTAGAATGGTTTTTGTGTCGACTACGCGTTGAGACGACTGGGTCCACCATGATCCGATCATAATGCTGAGATATGCCGTCATCGTGCCGGCTAAGGGAATAATGGTACAAATATAATTAACCGCTTGCAGTGCCCAATCCGCACCGTTTGATTTCTGGACACTACAACTATTCCACGGTTTCGTATTCGCCGTGGATTTCCCGCCAATTTGCAGTATAATCAGTAGGTTAATAATAAATGGAATTATCCAACTGGTGAGCAGAATTATTGTCGTGTGGCGGCGCGAGGCGAAGGTCTGATAAAAATGCGGCAGAAAAATCCCCACAACGCGATTAACGGCCAAGAAGAACGTGGACCACTGCTCCACGCCGATCATCAGCATGTAGAAAAACTGGAAAAAGTCACACGACATGTAAACGAACCGGAATGTCGGCAGATAGAACATAAAACACAGTCCTGGGAACATAACGCCGCAGATAGCTAATTCCGTGGCCAGAAGATGGATAATCTGTATGGTCGACGAGGAAAGCCGCTGTTGACCTTTGGTGATAACATAAATGAGCGCAAATAACAGGATGACCGCCGGTGTAAAAAAGACGAAATTCACGGCAAACCATGCTGCCAGTACAGGCTCGTATTGTTGGCGTAACGAGACATTAGAAATCGGGGATGAATTGTTCATTTTGACGTTTGCGTTTTAATGATGACTGCAGCTTTGGATGTGATTTGTTTTTGCTTGGCTTCTTGTGCACTGTTTATATTGCAGATATTTTTCGATGAGGATAAAGCGTGGTGATCCATTAGCTAATTGTCTGTGCATCTCGTGCGTATCTCACCGCGTCTACAAAGCCCCTGCCAGCTTTCTGGTTATCGAGATGCATGCGTTTTCTCGGTACAGCAATTATACTGTCTCGTTATTTTGGACTCCTGTGATGTATCGCACTCAGAACTATGGCACCATCCCTATGTGGAGGTGTATTTCCGGTATGTCAGTGGCATATTATCCCACGGCGTAGCACAGTGTATCCACAGCATGATGCGCAGCTAATTGAAAATGAGAGTGTATTGGATGTTTGTATTTACAAGTGGACTCTATGAGACAATACGTATCGCATGGGGTTGGAACGGAGAAATTTGTTTCGACTCGTGTAACAGGTTTGTGCAAGCAATGCGTTCCACGAATTTTAATCAGGATGAAAGCCACTATTATACTGGCGCACCTTGCACTTGTCCGTTGTTACTGTTATTGCAAAAACGGCCGCCCACACTTTACACGGTGAACACGCCTGTGACCAGTTTTATGCATGTGACCAATCTTGTGATCCACAAAGCTTAACAAATGCGAAGTGTTTATGATACAACAACCGTATGAAAATCAATGATACGGATAAGAAAATACGCTTTCCTTAAAACAGCAGTAATGTTGTCGACAACATCCATTACCTCCAACTTTAGAATACCCTTTTCGGTCCAAGAAAGGTATCCGTTTATACAAAGTTAGATCACTAAAACGCGGCGCACTAGACGACATAACCATGCGTTATTGATTTTCAGCTGATGCATTGAAATTCACAAACAACAACAAAAAGGTTTCTATCAAAATTATTAGGAAGAATTCCCGGTGCTTCGTTTGTGAGAGGTCTGTTCGGGCTTAGCATTCAGATGCCGCCGGTGGCGATCTTTCTTTACGGCAGATGCTAACTGAAACTGCAAGAAGCAACCACACGTACACTCCTTAATTCGGTACTCTTGCGACACTGTATGAAATATAAACTGCAAAAGAAATAGAAAATATCGGACTAAAAGTTGTTTGGGTATTCGTGGGAATGTGTCACGATAACTGCGCATGCAGAAAACCACCATATAGCAAAGATTTTATAATGGGATAAGCGCTTACGAGGGCAACTTATAATGGCAACCACATTACTTGTACAATATAATGTTGTTCCACGAATACGATTTTACTCTATCATGCAATTTTAATGCTCTGTTTCTGTGTACTATGGAACAAATTTGCTTAAAATCGCATTTTTTTGACTTTGAATTTATAGTTGTGTGATTTAGTAAAAGCACACATATAAACATTTACGTACAGAGTTATGTAAAAAATGTTAGCATACCGGTGATCCCATTGAGCCCACTGTGTGCACGAACAACATCCGTACTTTGTTCACGCGATTAATCTTGCGTTTTGTAGCAGCAATGCTTCCGAATGATACCGGTTATGCATGCAATTTATTTTAATGTCGAGAGAAAATTGTAAAATACGACCCGACCATAATGCTCACCCTCAGCTAAGCTATCGTTGTCCCGGCCAGCGGAATAATCGGAGAAATATAGTTTACGGTTTGATGCTGCACTGGCACCAACTGCCACCGTTGGATGGCTGGACAGTGCAACCGTTCCATGGTTGCGTAATTGGCACGGATTAACTTATCTCCAATATGCAGAAGAAGTAAGAAGGGAGAATATAAACGGTGTCACCCAAGTGATGACAAGGACAGTAGTACGGATAGTGTTTCGACGGGAAGCAAATCTCTGGTAGAAATGCGGCGGAAGATCCCCGCGAAACGGCTTATGGCGAGGAATAAGTTGGACCACTGTTCCACACCGACTACCAGCAAGTAGAATAACTGGAAGAAATCGCAGGACATATAGAGGAAACGGAAAATTGGTACGTAGATTATGCAGCAAATGCTCAGTACATTACGCCGCAGAGGGTGTATTGGATGCCCAGCAAATGGAGGATCTGGGTGGTGGATAACGACAGGCGCGGTTTATCAGTACCATTGGCTATCACGCAGATTAGAGTCCTGCGTGAGAGTCAAATGTTTGGCTCACGCTCGCTCGTTGTAATTCTAACTGTTGTAAAATTTTTCTCAGCTCGCTCGTGCTGCCTCGTCTGCTCGCTCGCTCGGCTCGCGTCCAGATTTTCTAATGCTCAGATCGCTCGGCTCGTTAGACCATCTTAGTTTTTATGCTCAGATCGCTCGCGAGCAAAATTATGTGCGGATCGAATATAAAAACGCACGTTGGTTTTTTTTACGGCAGCACCGCTGCAGGAATTTTATCAAGTTTACGGATCTGCGTCGCAGATACTGCTGCTTTATCAGTGAGTGAGCAGAGAAGCGGCTCACGTAAAGCGACAAAGTCTTTCAAAGGATTTCAACGTATTGCGCCGTGGTGCTGTGGTACTGCCTACGCGGATTTAACGACGTTGCCGGGGTTCGATTCCCCCATCGGCGCCTTTTTCAGCCGTTTCTCGGTTTCCCTCGGATTGCGCCCTGCTTAGAAGTGTTACAGCACCCGGTGTGCAGACTGCAGAGGGCAATATTAACCGCGAACCGCACCGGCAACGGACCGTAAATTGGTCTTATGCTAGACGTTGCAGTAGTATTGTTGAACTGTTCTTTTTCTGATTATTATCACTCTGATACAACAAGTATCAATAACAGTTAAGAGTTCTTCAGTTTACAATAAGGAAGAAGTGATTTCGCTAGTTGATGCAGCGGCGAGCGGTTTCATGTATGCCATAATTTCTGTTGAAGATAGTAGTGCCTGCACGTTCTGATATCAAGTAGAATAGAGGAGTTATGAAACCAGTTTTAGTTTCTTCTGATAAAACATTTATGGATTACCGCTGATATTATTTCCACCGCTGTTGTGGAGTACAGAAACTTTTCGCGCTACAGCTCATGGTCAAGTACTGCTGAGCAATCGTCTACAACGAACTGCATATTACTATTAATAGGCAGCCGTCATTAACTACAGTTTTTTTTTCAGGAAAAAGTTGGATATCCGCGTGTGCTAGGATTATATACATAATTGTACAAGTTGTGGATCCGCAGGAAGACTCCTGCAAACATGTCTCGACGTAAGAGAAAACTGAAACAACTGCCAGCAAATTCAGCAATGTAGCCAAGTAATCCTTGCGGTTGTTGCCGTTACCCGACTGCTATGGCGATTTCTGTAATTACCATGGTCTGCCGCAATCCTCGTAATATGCAGCTTTTCGGTACCAAGGTATACACCCGGGTGAGCAAAAACTATTTTGAATGTGAATTTTCCTAATCGTCAGCTGCAGGATTTCAAACACATCTTGCGAATTTATCTGCGGTGCTGCCATTAGTACTGCATTTGTCAATGTTTTTACCTTTGAGAATCACAATTTGTACCTTCAGTGCCCAGACTAAACCCTTATTGCTTTCGACCGGCCAGTTCATGGTCTAGGTGAACTGTTTAAGTTGAAAGAACACTTCTTTTAAAGTATCAAGAAAAGTTTCCAGTGTTATTTCTGGGAAAATGCTGGGCAGACCTATCGTTCGAATGTCCCCAGTTATGGGCGTTGTTGCTCCTTGCCGAAAATTGTAGGATGAGCAGGACCAGTCTCCGGCGGTACTCCTGCGACATTATAAGGAATATGAACTGCAAAAATAAGACCTTTTTATTCTAATCGTTCTGGTTTTTCGGGGGTCTGAATGAAAAATTTATTTTATGAAATTAAAGGTAGGTTTTATGCGCATTAAAAAAATCACTGAATTTCGCTTCGCAACAGGGCTTTTGAAGAAACATACCGGTGATCCAGCGAAGCCCATCAAGTATATCGTTCTCATCCACAATCCCAGCGGCGGATTGTTAAAATACAGAGTCGAGAAGGTCGTGACAATAATAGTATGTGGCAAGTAGCAGACCAGATACCATAATACCGACACAAACAACATTCGCGCTTTTTTCACACGTTTGACCTTTTGCTTCATGGCATTAATTCTGTCAGGCAGCGCGGCATGTACATCAACTCGATGCGCATGCCTGCAAAAGATTCCGAAATACGACCCCAACAGGATGGCCAGATACACGGTCATGGTGCCGGCCAGCGGAATAATCGTGCAAACATAATTCACAGCATGTAAGGCCCAGTTGACACCATTCAGCGGCTGAACAATACAGCCGTTCCACGGTTGTGTAACACCCGCGGATTTGCCTCCAATTTGCAATAGTATTAGAAGAGTAATTATCAACGGCACAATCCAGCTGATGACAATAACCGCAATGGTGTTTTGGCAGGAAGCAAAGGTCTGGTATAAATGCGGCAAGAAGATCCCGATGAAACGGTTAACGGCCAGGAAACATTTCGACCACTGCTCCACCCCGACGATCAGCATGTAGAAGAACTGAAAGAAATCGCAGGACATATAGACGAACGTGAAGGTGGGTACGTAGAAGATGCAGCATAATCCTGGATACATTATACCACAGAAGGCTAATTCGGTTCCAAGCAGATGGATGATCTGGATGGTGGATGACGACAGAAGGTGTGTACCATTGGCTATTACGTAGATGAGCACAAACAGCGTGACGGTGGCCAGCGCACAGATAGCAATGTTAATAGCAAACCAAGCTGTTAAGACTGACTCGTAAAGTTCTCTCGAGTTAATGCTAAACACCGCGGTAGTATTATTCATTTTTACAATCAACAGCAATCATACAGGTGATATAAGTCGTAAGCAGTAATCAAACGAGAAGGGTTGTTGTTTCGTTTTTGCTTGCATACTGCTACGATTTTATGGTAAGAAACCCAGCATTCTAGTGTAAACCAGCAGGAGACAAATAAGCCAATTTCGGTTTCCGTTGCAGGTACGCAAAATCCTGGGCCGTGTTTGTCGCATTTCCGGCATAATTTAAGAGAACTCAATTAATTATTCAAGCTATAGTGTTAGTTGTCAGCGCCATACTTACCTGGAGAAATGTGCCATACTATTGCAAATCCGGGAAATTCTGGACGCACGTGCATACTATGATTATACGCATGCGTAACTAAATTACCTGTTCTGCTACTCTACAGGAATGCTCCGTTTGGCTTGCTAAGCAAACACACCATTGCCATCAGCTGAGGATCTGTTCACTTATTAAAAGCCGTGAAAAGCCTTAAATTATGGTCATTATGGCTTCCGGTGGTGGTGTAGGTCAAGATGCGGGATAAAGAGCTACTTAGTGATAGTATCCCTTTTAAACATTCTCTTGGTCTGCTGAAAAAGTCGTGGCAGGAATCGAAAGTTCGTCCTCCCTCATTTTCCAACTTTAAACACAGAGTGTACGTCATTGAGGTAACTGCAGTAACTGACGCAGCTGCATCGGTCACTTTCTTAACCGCTATGTAAATGTATGTTAAAATTACAATAATTCCATGGGTTTATGCAACGTTTACACAATTGCAGGATTTATCAGATGAGTATATTTACTTGCTAACAAATACGCACATCGCAGCCTCGCTGCAGTTTACTGCACCACACGCGCGCTATCACTGAGACACAGTGCAACATACATAATAAAGGGACGCCCAGTAATAAGAGCACCTCCCCCTTTAGGTTCGAAAAGTTAGAGCGCCCTTCGAAATTGACACACAGGGAGACGTTAATAAATGTCAAACGCAGTAAACTATGGGTATCAGATTAGGGTATGTTTCCTTTATCTGGGTTCCCAAGCAAGATGGGCAACCCTCTATGCGCGCGGTTACGTTATTACTCAACCTTTCGCAGCTGTTGTGGCTGCCTGAAAATTTTGATTTTTTCAAAGTAATTATTTTGACAGTACTTCTTTAGTATTTAGTTTGTATCAAAATGTTCAAGAGGCTGCATCAACGACGGATTCAAAATCTTTCTAAAATTTATGTTTGTAACTTTTTCAAAATTAATGTAATGTCTTTGTTTCTAACTTTGTAATCCTGTTGAAATATATAGAAAGCGGTTCTGCTAGAATTCCGATAAATTTAATTTGACGAGCATTTTTAACTAGCCGGGAGCCCAGATACGGGTTTGTACTGCATAGGGACTAGGGAGCCCATATAAGGCATTGGTCGAAGTATGGTATTTAGTATTTACAATACATAAAATATGGCGGTAATTGCTAGCAAGCAGCTGTATGCATACAAACCGGTCCACATGATTAAAAAGATTAAATACAGCGAAATATGCAAATTCCCATGATATGCCTTCTCCATTGCGTTGACCTGTGAGCCGCCCGTGAAACAAATTCGATAATTACGGTACGCATTAACGTCAACTATGTACAAGTGACGAGCACAACCACGGTAAGGCCCAATGTAACAGCGGTTGGCATTTCTAAAGTTCAAATAGAATCTTAAGAGACAATAGATCAATTTTATTTTCCCCCCATTATAGTGATCGGAAAGCTTTTCATAACTTATCGATACAAATACGAAGCAATAATCTTACTATTTAATAGAAGTAGCCTCTCATTGAGTTAGCAGCTATAGACCGCGGAAATAGGCGGCCGATTTACAGAGAACATATTATCTATCATCTTTAAACTTAGTCGAAGCTGGGCCGAACCCAGGATGAATACCACTTCTCACGCTGGATCCCGATACTAACCGAGTCAAATTCCCTTCATGATCAGGTACTTACCATTAGTTATCTATTTAACCTTTGTATACTATGCCCTGACAATGGTTAAACGTTTAAGCGTTTCGCAGTCAACAACACTGGACAACAACATTGGACGATATCTTTTAATTTATTCTGTAAATTCAGCGAGGTAGTTACTAATGTTAACAGCCAAACTGAAACGTTTGGCGTTTTCGGTCCAGCTTTAAGCGAATTGTTGCACTTTATGGGCCGAAAAATTCGTGACCTGACTGGAGAAGCGCGTTCTACTGCTTTTCTTAAACAACGTTTCAGTTTGGCTGTTATTAAGGGAAACGCTACGGCTGTGTTAAGTACGCTACCATTTAACCCACGGGTGGATGGAGATTTTGGTTGTTTTTTCAATGTTTAAAATTTTAACAGTAACGTAGTGTGCCTGCGCTTGCACTTCTTGTTACTTTGACGGCTATTGCCTATTAAAGTAATATACTAAAAAAAATGTTAACTAGGCTCACCAATGTCAAGGATCGCGCAGGTAACAATATAACCGCCAACGCTGGCACGGGCATTCATCGCAGTAAAAGAAAAAAAGTATTGATAAGACGGTGGCAGACACAGTACAGATATGAAAAATTAAACCAGTCTATTAGCTGGACTTGGAAATTATGATATGAAGTTGATGTGACAAGTCGCCGGTCATCCTTCGCGAAGGACTGACGCTGTTCCCATTAACCCTTCCTTTTAAAAAAGCCAAGCATTTTTGAATATCTTTTTTCAGTGCAGTTCTATATTCCGTGCCAACAATGAAGAGTATTACCTGCAAAAAATTACCAAATAAAAACAGAGATCAGACCAACTGATATCACTTATGGTAATCTAACCGGGTTCGCAGCGTAGGCTACTAACTGCACGGTCCTCCCGTACATCGACGACCGGATATCCTTGGACCAAAGCGTGCTATAATAAGTGGACATTAACACGGGAGCAGGTAAGGTCATGCAATTCAGGATGGAAGAGAAGAACAGTGCTTTGACAGTAGCCAGCCGTCGCTTCTGAGTTCGCCGCTCCAGCTCACTCATCAGTACATTGGTATTCCAACCTAACCGTTGACATCCCAGCAAGGCAAACAGACTTCCATATGTCACACCCACAATTGCAACAGGGATGTAATTTCCGAACACTACCATCAAGTCACTAATGATTCCCTGCCCGAAAATCCTTGCACAATTTCCAATCGACGGGTGCTTGCCATACACTAAGCCGGGGACGACGTTGGCCGCTGGAAGCATTATTACGATGGACACGATCCAGGCAAAGAGGAGCGCAGCAAACGATACCCGACGGGAAGAGAATGCGGCATAACGGTGAGGCAGAATGATGGCGATAAAGCGGTTGAGTGCGAGTGCCGCCCACGTCCAGTTGCTAATACCGATGTTGACCAGGATGAAGAAATAGACCGGTGAACAGTTATACGTGAAAGTAAAGCGCATCTGCGTTAAGTACACCGGCAGTGTGATGGTCGGGGTGCTAACAACGCAGAATATAAAGTCTGTAGCAACAGAATGCAGAATCAGTACGCCTGAGCCGCTTTTCCATTTCTTCAAGCGGTACATTATTACTAAGAACACAATCATCAAAACAGCAGCTAAACTGGCTATGCCAAATTGTACTCCAATCCAGATATGCATTTCCACTGCGGAAAGCGTTTGACGCAATGGCAATGACCCATTTGACACGTTCGACGGGTTTAAAGTTTTGTTGTTCATTTTATCCGCAGAAACTAAGCTGAGATTTAGAGTTTAGACGCATAGACTGAGCATGTGTACTGCAAAGTGCAATGAGCGTGCCGGCATTTTTGATTGTTATCATACTGTGCTCATCCTGGGAAGCCGCTCTTGAACCCACCGGAAATTATTTGGGTTGTTTGTCCATTCTCTGATGTACGCATATAGACTTTTCGCATCCGCTTTCGTGCAAAAGCTGACGAGCATGACCTTTCCTGGTAACCCCATGAATTCTTCAACAAAGAGGCTTGGCTGAAAACGGGTTATATGTATCATCGAACATCATTACCTTGTTACGTTCGCTGCGGTTTTCATTGTGATTGCTAAATTCACGCTCTAGTTATTATCCGTCAGATTTCCTTATTTTCATTCGTTCTTGCGCATGGCCGAACCCGTGCTGCTGCCTGGTGCGTTCAGACCCAGAGAGGGCCTACACCTTTCGTCGGAATGGACTGCGGAATAGAATGCAAATATTCGAAATAAAATTTTCGGAACAGGAATCGCAATACGTAATTTTCATCGGAACGTAAGCTAATAAGTATTAAAGCCAAACAGATCGGAATCTGATAAACAAAGCCGAACAGAATAATTTTTTATCGGAACGGACAAAAATTAGTTTTAATGTTTTACCGGATGTAGATGCTGAAATTATGTAACTACTTGTAAATTAAGATAATATCAATAAACGTACAAAGCTCAGTACGGTGAATTTTTTTCCATATTAAGATAGCACGATTAATCTTCTCTGCAGGAGCGGCATTCACCGCATTCCGAAATACAGCCAGCCGGCATCAAATACAGCTGAGAGACTTTGTTTTCGCTTTGCGATAACCTTTATTATTCCACGCAAAGTTGAGATTTTCATTCCCTATCACAAGAAATCTTTAGATTCGTTTCACAGCGTCCATCCATAACGCTCGCAAATAAGTTTGCGGAATTTCCGAGTGGATATCGCTGTATATGTTTTCCTAATTTCCATAACTATTTTTAAATTGCCGAGGTTCCCGTGCGCTAAATTAACAATTGTAAGCATACTAAGTACATAATAACCTCTCGATCACCTTATACTGAACTTTCTCGTGCCGAAATGTACAGAGTAC